GAAAGCAATCGAGGTGTCCACTAGCCCCTAAAAGGACAAGTTTGGAAAACATGGCTTGGAGACCATGGCCACCCAACACCAGATGACTTTCTTTCCGCCCCATGTCCTCACCATCCCCTGCCTACCCAGGGGCAAATCACTGAGTTGCCAGGAGGAAGGTGGGAGGCAGAATCCTTCTCTGGAATATGTGAGTCAGGGGAGACCAGGGCCAACTGCAGTGGGGTTGAGGACTTCCTGCTCCGTGCTCAGCTCACAGTCAGCGACTCGGGGGTGCCCTTGACGGTGCCCTTCTGCTCTTCCCCACCTAGGGGTGCCTTCTTGAGCCAGTTCCAACAATAAAGAAAGGTCCCACAGCAGGAAGAACAGAGAGAGAGAAAAAAAAGAGCCATTTCCCTGTGGCACAGCCCTACTCATCCCCGCCCCTCCGCCCGCTGAAGCAGGAGGCACTTTTTTTTTTTTTCCTTTTTTTGGAATGCAGATTAACAGAGAGGAGAGACAGAAAGATCTTCCATCTGCTGGGTCACTCCCCAAGTGGCTGCAATTGCCAGAGCTGAGCTGATCTGAAACCAGGAGCCTCCTCTGGGTCTCCCACAGGGATCCCAAGGCTTTGGGCCGTCCTCTACTGCTTTCCCAGGCCACAAGCAGGGAGCTGGATGGGAGGTAGAGCAGCCAGGACGCTAACCAGTGCCCATATGGGATCCTGGCTCTTGCAAGGCGAGGATTTAGCCACTGAGCTATCTCGCTGGGGATACTGTCACTTCCCTGTCCTGTTGGCTTCTCGGCACACCTCTGGTGGATGTGACAGATGCTGCTTGATGCAAGCACAGAAGGCAGAAGTGGAAAAAGCTACCTTGAGCAGCCCAGGGATGGGCAGGTCTTACGAGTGATGGGCTGAAGGTGAGGTCCTAACTACAGGAAAAGAAGGACTTTGGAGAAGGCTCGGGCCAAATCCTCTGTGATAGAAATAAGGACACCGAGTGACAGTTTGAAGAAGTCGGTTGTATTAGGCCACATGGCCACTTAGGCCTGGTCTCGGGTTCTTTGGCCCAAATCTGTCTCTTTCCAAGAATGACAAGGAGCAGAGCATTTTCTAAGACTGTGCCTCAGTTTCCTGAAATGCAGCAAGAGAAAGCCCCCCTGTCCAAGAGGGGCTATAGAGTCCAAAGGGCAAAACTGGAAAGGGGAAAAAAAAAACGACAATACTTGCCCAAAGCCTGTGTTAGGCACGTATCCATGATATGGGACGCAGTGTCCATGCACAAGAAGGTAAGCTGGCTTTGGGGCATGATCGTCAGGACAGCATCTTGACAGCTGTGAGAGCAGGCACTGCCACATGGCTGCCCGGGGCTGAGCCCTGGAGTGCGTGCAGGTTCCTGCAGGCTCTGCGCACACACAACTGTTTCCATTACTGCAGAGTCTGTCAGAGCTTTCCAGACTGGACCCTGAGCCCAGACACGATTGCATGGAGACAATGTGGTCCTGAGAGGGAGCCGGAGGCCACTCAGTGACACCAAAATAGACATGCGAAGTCCTGGCTTAGCTGACCGGGAGGGAGGAGTGCAGAGAACTGCTCCCAAACACGTCCACCTGGTGGAAATATTCTGAGATGGAATGGGCTGTAAATAAACCAGACCGAGCTAAAAACAAACAGCTCCGGGCACTGGGGGAGGGCAGAAATAGCCAGCCTCCACTTGCTGAAATGCAGCAGGTCCACGACAGGCAGCTGGGGTGGAAGGAAGGCCAGGTGGGTGACGGGGGAGTGGGGAAGGAACAATGCCAATGCCTCAGCCGGAAAAGCAGCTGATCATTTGCTAAAAAGATTTATGTGAAAGGCAGAGTTACAGAGAGAGAGAGCGAGAGATGAAGAGAGATATCTTTCATCCGCTGGCTCACTTGCCAAATGGCCCCAACTGCCAGGACTGGACCAAGTCCAAAGCCAGGAGCACAGAACTCCATCCAGGCCTCCCGCATGAGTGGCAGGAACTATCCTCTTTTGCTTTTCTGGGCCATTGACAGGGAGCTAGCTCAAAAGCAGGGTAACCAGGACTTGAACCATGGCTCAGATGGGATGCTGGTGTCACAGGCAGTTGCTTAACCCACTATACCATCACGCTAGCCCAGCAACTGATTATTTATGTCCACTGACGAGGTCTCTGGTTTCCAAGAAGGAATAAGAGAAATGAGTGCTTTGAACGGCACTGGCTTTACATCAGTGGAAGCCGCACAGGGTGCTGGGTGAAGGGAAGCCAAACAAAGCCTGGGGAAGGGGGTGAGGAGGGATGCCGATGAGTCACACAGGCCCCACTGGGACTCTGAGTGCTAATTGTATGTGTGGACCTGGCTAGGGGAGGCTCAGCTGCCGTGGCAGAAGAGAGGCAAGGGAACAGTGTAGAGCAGGGCCCTGGAGGGCAAACCTGCCAGCCCTCTCCACCCACACACCTAGGCAGGGTGAACCTTGAGCTGCCCAGCACCAGCTCCTGAACCCTCTGGGAGTGGACTGTGACAACACAAGGGCACCCACTTGGCAGGGTGCACTCTAGATGCTTATAAACAACGTTCCAGAAACCAGCACGAGACAGGATCTCTTGGTGATTGTGACAGGGCCAAAGGTGAGAGCACCCTAGGGTAGCCATCACTGCATGCAGATGAAATGAGACTTGCCCCAAGCCACCTATCAGATGACAATGCGTTTCCCTACCCAAGCGCATGTGCGCAATGGCTGTCGCTTCACCAGCCCCGGCAGCAGCGTGGCTCAGTTCTTCTTCTAGGCAGAGGACAGCCTGGTCTCCTGACAGCATCCAGCCCAGAGTCCAGGCAGCCTTAGCGAGCCCCTCTGCAAACCACTGGGCAAAAGGCCGACCCGAGCGAGGATGCACCCTTTAGCAGCCTCCTCCTGAGCTGCCCCAGGTCCCTCCCCAAGCCTTCCTTCCCTCTCCTGCACAGCCACCACACCCAACTCTGTCCCCACACATGTCCCAGCGGTCTCCAGAGACACAGCATCATCTCAACTACTTGTCATGGAGCCTCTCGCCTTGGTCTTACCTCCCAACTTTCATTTTTACCCATAGACACTGCCCATCTGGATTCAAATGCTGCCTCTGTCACTGGCCAGCTACATGATTGTGGGCAGGGCACTTGGCCCCTCTGCCTCGGTTAGCAGACCTGTGAAATGGGGATGGTGATGACAATTAAGGTACCTAGTTGTAGCAGCTGCCGTGAGGACTGGGTGAGTCCATGTGGGAACTGCTCAAGGAGCACCATGCATGCAGTCAAAGAGTTGGATGTTGGTATCAACCACTCAGCCTGGTACCATGCTAGCCTTTGGCTTAAGCCTGGCTCCCACAGGGACACACCAGGAAAGCATTTGACCCAACTGGGAAGAGCTGACACTGGGGAAACTTAGGGAAGTACAAGGCTGAGCTACTCCACTTTGGTCTGGGAAGTCACGGAATCCTTCCTGGTGGAGGCAGCAAACATTCTCCCATACCTGGGAGGAGTACCCAGGGCAGTGCCGCCTGTGGGAGGCCCCTGAGCTGAGCGGGCCTCACCTTCTATAGTCAGAGGCATCTTCTGCCTCTTACAAGGCCCAAATCAGGGCCTGGCAGAGTGTGTGCCCAAACAAGTATCCAACGCCAAAACGGCTGTTTTCCCCACAAACTAGTGCTCCTCTGGCTTTCCTATCACTCTCCAGGGACTATTGCCCGGGGCCCCTGCACCTTCAAAATCACCCCTGACTCTTCTTCCTCTAGCCTTTCTCAACACACTGGCCCCACTTCTCCCTCCCCTCTAATGCTGGGGTCAGTCCATTTCTTTCTGCCCCTACAGCTGTCCATTCATGCCTGCTGCTGTGACGGAGTAGGTCAAGCCACCATCTGTGATGTCAGTATCCCATCTGGGTACTGGTTTATGTCCCAGCTGCTCTACTTCCAATCCAGCTCCCTGCTAATGGCCTGTGACAAACAGCACAAGAATGACCCAAGGCTTAGGTCCCTGTACCCATATGAGAGACCCAGATGAAGCTTCTAGCTTCTGGCTTTGGCCTAGCTCAGGCCTGGCTAATGTAACCATCAAGAGAGTGAACCAAGAAATGGAAGATCTCTCTCACTATAGCATAAGTTAATTTCAAGGAACAAAAAGATACTTAAAAAAAAAAAAGGCTGCTGACAGAGCTGCCTGCCTGCCGTGCCATCTGGAGGCCTGGCTAGCCTGCTCTGGTCCAACTTCCTTCTGCTAATGTGCCTGGAAAGTCAACAGATGGTGGCTCGGTATCTGGGTCTGTAACATCTACATGTATTTTGGGGTAGGGCATTGTTCAACAGCAACCATGGAGCACAGGTGAGTCTCTAGGTGAAAGCGTTCGGGGCCTTCCCTTCTCATATTTTGGAACTGGCCATCCGTGTACTAAGGCACCAAACTATGAGACGGAAGGCTCAAATGTGTGTCTCCAGGAATCAATGGATGCTGCTCCCCATCCCCCGCTGCCTCCCCATCTAAACAGTTTCCTTCTGAGGAAAGGCCCCAAATTAACTAGGGCTACTCAACGTTGGGTTACTACACAAAATGCCTGAAGCAATTAACTTTAACAGGACAAAACATTTGTTTTTACTCAGCTCACAGTTTTGGAGATGCAAGATCCCACAGACCTACTGAATAGGGTGGAGGGTGGAACAGAGGCGGGCTTCCACCAGGTGAGCCAGGTAGAAAGTGGAGGCAAGAGGGAAAGAAAAAGAGGCTAGCCCTCCTGGGGGCGCCCCACGTGTCTCCGTGAACTTGGCATTCCTTACCCTGTCTACAATAGTGACAAGCGAGCCTCTCTAGAGGGACAAAATGGCCACCGTCAGCTTGTCTAACAACCACCTGAATCCAGGGCAGGCAAGCAGCAGAGGGGAGGTCCACTCGCACGTTGGAGGTCAGAGCAGAGGCTGCGCTGGCAGCACGGGGCTCCCCTCGGGCACTGCCGGCCGGCTCGCCACGCTAAACGGCGGTTTTCTCTGGAACAGCCCTTCCCGGCCTGGATCAGAAGAAGCGAGGCAGCCACAGGGCATGCTGCCTGCTGACGCCGCCTCCGCCGCCGCTCTTCCCGCCGCCCTTCTTCCGAGGGGGCCGAAGCTCGGTGAGTGCCCGGGCCTGGTGGGAGAGAGCTGCGCGTGCTCCCGGGGGCGGGGCGGGGCGGGGCGGCTTCCAGAACGTTCCCTCAGAGATCTGAGCCTTCGCTGTCGCGCAGAGGCTACTGCCGGTCTCCTAATGTTCTAAGCAAACGATGGAGGGAAATTCTTCCCTAGTGGGGACTGGATTGGGCACAGGGCGCCACCTACTCGAAAATTCTGAGGTGAATTTGTGACATTTTGGGTTCCCATGGGCTGCGTAGAAACCGGATGCCCCCCTTCATTTTCCTTCTCCTCAAGTATTTATGAATTTGCTTTCCACAATTGGTGGCTGACGTGGACCACTCCCGTGAGGGCAACAGAAAATCATCCTCCCCGGGCTACCTTGAGGTGTGAGAGGGAATTTGGGAGGAGAGGGAAAGAACCGAGTCTGGGCTGCTGGCGGGGACGCCACGGGCTGGGCAGCCCCCGGGCCTGAGCGCTGTGTGGATTCTTAGACCTGTGCTGTCCGGGAGCACGGGCAAGGCGCGCCTGGGTCTGTGGAGCATTTGTCCTTTTTTAAAAAATACTTTCATGTACTGTAAATACATCAGATTTTGAAGACTTAGTATGAAAAAGGGGACGTAAAAGACTTGATAATTTTTATACTCCATATTTTACATGTTACATGTTTGTGTTAGTTTCTATATTTTAATGTCTTATGATTTTTATAATCTGGTATTTGAGGTATATTTGAGTAACGTACATTGTTAAGATTAAGCTTATTTGCCACAATCATTGCCTATTCTATTACTTGCTGCTGAAAGCATTCCTAAAGCAGACACACAGCCTTCGCGGTCTGTCTGGGCTTAGCATTGAGAACAGTGTGTGGTAAGTAGTCAGGATATTTTTGAAAAAAAAAAAAGAAAAGAATGGATTTTTCAGTCAGATATTAAGCATCAAACCTAAAGCAATGGGTGGTAGAAATTTTTTTAAATTTTTATATTGAATTTTTGAATATAGCCTCCAAAAACACATTCAAAAATAATTTTAAAAAATAAAGTTAACTTATTTTCTTTTTAGGGTAAGAATGTGGCTAGCAGAAAATTTAAAACTACAATGGGGTGCTCATCAGTTGCTCACATTGTGTTTTTATTGGCCATTGCTGTGTGAACATGGGAGAAAGAGTTCTGGAAACGAGATGTTCGCTCCATCCGAAGTGGGCATCCTAGCTCTCGGATCCATTTAAACCAGAGCAGATGAGAGAAGCTGGCGTCACGTCTTGCAGTGTTCGTTGGGCTGTCGTGGGAGTGCCAGTCTGGGGAACCTGATCTTGAAGCAGATCTATGTCCAGGACGGTGACCCTGCCTCTGTGGCCCCAAGGCTGACCTACAACCCTGTGTTGTTTTGTGCTGAAGCTTCTCTCCCCAGACGTGAAGAATCTCCTCCTGGAACTCGAGACTTCGCAGCCCCCCTGCGTGCAAGGCCCACCTGGCTCCCCTGGACCGCCTGGCCTGCAGGTTGGTGCGCTTTCTTGACCTCTGTTCACTGGCTTCAGTGCAGAGCAGGGAAACCCCCGGGCATGGCCTCTTAGTCTCTGTTCCTTTTAGAGTGATTCAGGACTATTTTGTCTTCTGTAACATCCCTCTAGTTAAGCTTGAGTCACATGGTTAGAATACTGGTTCTCTGAGTGACTTCTGACCTCCCAGCCTTGATTTCCTCATCTAACAATGGACACAGTAGCTGACTGTCCCTGCCACACTGGCCGTGTGGGGGATGGGAGACAAAACGCGATGTCCCCCCCGAGGGGTGCGGCTATTATTGCAGTTGTCATCAGTTACTTGATGACAATACCCTTTATGCATGGATAGTTCAAAACACTTAAGGAAATGAAATCAAAACAAATTGATTTTGGTGCAAAAATCTATTCCCCATACATATTTGTAGGATACAATAAAGAAAATGAGAACTTGAATCCTGAGTTGGCCAGATGCCACTTACTGTTTATGGGGCTAGAAAGTCTGCGGGAGGCAAGAGGGAAACCTCTTGGCTGAATTCCCGCCTTCCCACCTGCAGCCATCTTCTGTGCCAGCTCCAGGCACCTGGCACCCACAGAGTGTGGCAAAGAAGGCAGATACCTCGCTGACCCCAGAACACCTCTCTTGAGTCACATCTGCATACTCAAACCTTGTGCAGCCCCATTGAGACTCATGGAAACTGCACTGCGCAGCTTGAGGTTTCCACTGCTACCTGTTCCTTTAAAATGGCGTGGACTTACCTCTTTCAAAGTGAGACCTGTGGACCAGCTACACTGCTACAGCATAGTTGCTGATGAGAAATGTAGAATGTCCCTCCCGCCTAACAGCCAGTCACCTTCCCGTCATGATGAATAGAGTGAATCCCTTACAGGCTAAACTTTGAGAAGCGCTGGGTTGGAATACAACGTTCTTGTTAAATGCTCACGAAATAAAAAAAAAAAAAAATTAAGATTAAAAAAAAAAATAGAGTGAGTGAATGCTCTCCCGCTCCCTTCCCAAAGCAGAAGGTGGGTAAATCACCCAGGCCCGTGTAAGCCCCTCTAACTTTAATAGGCAGTCTGTTCCTCCTCACCCCACTCTGCCTTGTTCTAATGTGGCTTTTCACTTGGTCAGAAAGAATGGCCTGGACTTTGGGATTTTTCAGGGGTCCCCAGGAGAGTTGTATGGTGCTGGCAAGTGCGGGGACCTCTGGCTGGGGTGCGGCTGTAAGTCATTTGGACAAGTCCCAGGAACCATGTTTCATGCACTCGTGTCAGGCTCTACATTCTGCAGACGAACCCTGAGGGACGTTGAGGGGTTTCCTCTCTGCTCTTCTGGGGATTTTGGGAAACAGGTGCCGGCCGAGCATTTCACAGACACGTGAGCAGACTGATGGTGTGCAGAGACTTGGTACAGTGAGTTCTGGAACCCCTGAGCTGGGGGCAGCCCACTCCTGAGGATAGAAAGAGGACGAGCGTGCATTATTTACTTGCCAACATTCCCTCTGTCTTAAAAAAAAAAAAATGATGCTGAAAGTGGGAAGGAGAGGATTATTTAATCTCTGGGAGTTTCTGAGTTGGGCTGTTGCAGGGAGCAGAGCTTGACTGTCCCTCGTCAGGCCCTGGGGACGGAGAAGCGACTCACGTCTCGCTTTGAGCAAGCAGGATTTCTTCAGGACTCTTGAATTGCTCTCACCAAGCACTCAGGATGTGTCGGTTAGCCGAGGCCTCCCGGGGAAGGTCAGGAGCAGGCAGGTGGCAGAGCGCTGCAGCCGTGGGAGCACTGACACTGCTCAGAGAGCTCCCTGGGAGGGGTGCGGCGGGAGGCTCTCCCGTGGGAGCCTCAGGCAGCAAGTGCTTCTCTCCCCACCAATCCTGCCTTGATCTGATGTGTTTCTTTGCTTCCTGTCTTGATTGCATAGGGTCCACCTGGGATTCCTGGCAAGACAGGACCAAAGGGAGAAAAGGTATGGGCCATTCTGTTCTTTAGTCTTCCTCTCTTGGATGATTCCAGGCTATTTCCTAGGGGAGGGAGAGGTGTGGCACAGAGGATTTTCTGGTTGAAATTTCAAAACATGTGCAGATACTGCCTTCACGCATGAAAACAGTGCCATGATGACTGCACTGCTCTGTGGGTGAGGGTGCCATGGTGTGTTTGAACTTGGCCGCTGAGATGGCTGGGGTTCTGTGAGTGGACAAGAGACACGGCTGTGGGTTACATCCCGTCGCCAGCCCTACCAGAGCCTTTGTTTTTTCGCTTCTCTTCCAAAGCAGCTTTGGCTCACCTGTCTTCTCCTTCTACAGGGGGAGCTTGGCCGACCAGGAAGGAAGGTATGATTCATACTGCTCTGTTGGTGCCACAGGGCACCGGTGCCCCAGGCGTGTGAATGATTTTGTATGCTCCCGGAGTGTGAACCAGCAGTGCGCTTCTGTGGCCCGCAAACTCCAGCACCCAGTGATGGTGCTGCGGCCCTGGGGATGGTAGTGTGACCTTGTCCTTTCTGCCAGTCCCTTTAGCTGGAGCTTGCTACTGTCAAATGTTCTGACTTCTAGAGGGTGCCAGGCCTGGCCAGATTGGCCCCAGCCTTAGACTGTCTCATCCTGCCACCCATTAGAACAAACCTCCAGTGGCATAAAATGACTGTCATTGTCTCTTTGATTACACTGAAATAAAGTACACAGCAGACAGAAACAAATGGCTTCAGCTTTGGGGCTCAACAAAAATAAATGGGAGTTACTTGAGGTCAAAGCAGCTTTGAACCAAACACATGTCATCAAGACTCTCATCAAGAGGGAGGAAGCAGCCCTTTCCACTCACTGTGGTCAAAGGATTCCGGTCCTGATATTCCAGGTCTTGTAATTGAAAGAGGTGCAAAACTTGGGAAGAGAAGGATATGCATGACTCCAAATACAGTTACTACATTGCTAGCTACATGTTTTATTGAAATGGTTTCACTGTCAACAAGGGCCCTGAGTAGGCATTTTCTTGGCAGGGTTACAGCTCTGCTGGGGACTGGTGGAAACCCGGCCCTATCTCAGCTGCTGCTTGAGGAGCTGAGCTGGAAGGAATTCTTGCTCAGACCTAACGAGGACCGTGATTCATCCATGATGTCTGCCCCAGATGTGAAAGGCAAGAGCAGAAACCGGTGCCCGTGGCAGCGCCGGTGCTTCTTGGCTAGAGGCTGAGTCCTCCACATTTCCATCCAACAAACTGGCCAGTCAGGGACCCACGGGGTGGTGCAGGTATCCCATATCTGAGTGTTCTGCTCTTCTACTTCCTGTGCGTCTTCCTGTTGATGCTGCAGGGAAGGTAGCAGAAAATGGCCCAAGTTGGAGCTCCTAGCTCCTGACTGGCCTAGCCCAGACCTGGCTCTTGCAAGTCACTGGGAGAGTGAACCAGGGTATGGAAGATCTCTCCCTGTCTCTTCCGTCCACTTTCTGTTGCTCTGCCTTTCAGATGAATACATCAACTTGTTTAAAAAGAAAGGAACTAGCCAGTGGGTATGCAAGGATCTTAGCCCCTATTCTTACTCTATTTATCATGGCTCCTGGCTGTGGTTGAAAAGCAGAGACAGAAATATATATATATATATATATATATATATATATATATATATATATATATATAATAAATGAAGTTGGTGAACTCAGAAAACAGTGAGCAAAACTAAACAAGGCTCTGGTATCAGGTTCATTCCAGCCTCAGCAGCTTGATCCCTAGGGGAGTGTGGGTGTGCGAGGACCCACAGTCCATCCTGCCTTGACATCAATTACTGGACAGCTGCAGCTGCCCAAGGGTGAACTGCATATTTGTAGCTTGCAGGAATGAATTGCTAGCAGCAAGCTGGATGGTTACCTGGGATGGACATTCTGAGCGGGTGAAAGATCTTGAGGGAGCATCTACTGTTCTCGCCTAAAATAATGTTGTCTCTCCACAGCACAGCCTTGGGGGAGCATCCACTGGAGTACAAGGGACTGTTCAAAGGTCGAAGAACGAGGAAGTTTAGAATCCCTCTCCTATCCCTTTTCATTTCTTGAATGTAGAACCAGACCTTGTGTGGTGGTACCATGTGATACCCAGGGCTTTCTCTTAGAGCTAAGGAAGCCACTTTTCAGGCCATCAGTCCTTGGAAAGTTGGGAGGCAGGTCCTGGGGAGCCATCCCTGGAGGCCCAGAGACAGATCCCATCCTTGGAAGGGGGGAAACGTGCCCGGCTGTCCTGACTTGTATTCTTGGTTTTTGAAGGGTAGACCTGGCCCTCCAGGTGCTCCTGGCATGCCTGGGCCCATTGGCGGGCCAGGCCCAGAAGGACCCAGGGTAAGTATGTTCTTGGGCTCTGTGGTGTCAGAACAACAGGGGGTAATGGGAGCTCCCCTGGTCCCTGGCCCATAGTCAGGGAATCGCTTCCTCAAGAGGGAAGGGCTGCTCATAAGTCCTCAAACATGTGCTCCTGTGCTTGGACTACAAGGGCTTCACCAGAGTAGTGGCATTAGTCCTGTGGAAGGAGAAACTGAGTCCACTTCCCTTGAATCTCCTTTGCCATGAGAAATTAGCACCCTGTTCGCTGATGTTCCTGAAATGACACGAAGGGGAATTGAGTCTGGGAAGGTCCTGCTTGCCATGCTCCTCCGGGGTCGGCAAGTGTCGGTTGGCTGGAAGGATGGCGTTCTGCTTCCAGAGGGAGGTTACCGGAGGCTGCCACACTCCCTTCCTGAGACAGGATATGAAAGGAAGCACATCCACGTGCCTCCTCTGCCTACCTTCTTTTTCCCAATAGCCACATGCTGCCGAGAGCAGAGCTCGCGGCCTGATACTCCACCTGCGCAGACTGGGGCGGGTCAGGGGGTTTGCGGCACCATTGCATGTATAATGATAGAAATGGTATTTCTGACCCTCTTGGGGAAAACTCCAAGAAGATTTCTTCTTCAAGAAGAAATCTGTCCAAGAGCAAGTGTTTGTTTTCACAATTGAGATGTCTTATTTTATAGCAGACCTTTGTTACTATAATACAGGGTAATGCACCTGTACCCGTACCAGCTTGCTTGGGTTCAGTGCCCAACTCCAGCCCCCGCCTTCACGTTCCTGCTAGTGCAGAGCCCGGGATACAGAAGGAGATGGCTCAAGCAGTTGGGTTCTTGCTCTCATGAGGAGACCCTGGCTTCGGCCTGGCCCAGGCTTACCCATTACAGCCATTGGGGAAGTAAAACAATGACGGGGTTCTCTCTGTGTCTGTCTGTGCCTCTGCCTCTCAAGTAAATGAATTAGTAAGTCACTTTTACTCAGTTCCATTATGTTTATGGAGGAAACTGCACACATGAACCTATTTTTTTCAGTGATAAATTTTATGTAATTGAAATACAGACTAAGTATTTTGGATGAAAATTGACTGAATTCAGATGTGCTTAAAATAGTAAATATACATATGCTTACTATTTCAAGAATTTAATATGAAAAGCAGAATATAAAATGTCTCAATCATTGTTACGTTGAATACAAGTTTCAATAAATAAATGGAATTTATCATTAATATTTACTTCACCTGCTTACTTCTACTTTTTACATGGGAAGTTTTGAATTAAGCATGGTGCTCACCTGGCATGCTTGTTAGCTCTGGTGTATAGTTTTTTCAGTACATCGGGTGCTTGAAATGCCAGCTGCAAGCCGTCTGAGGGAAAACAGAACTTGCCCTTGACTTAGTCCCCAGTTCACACCCTGAGCATGATATTCACTGTCTTGGTCACTGAACTAGGGAGAGAGTACCCGGGGCATGTGAAAGCCCCTACCGTGCACGCAGCAGCAGGCAAGACTTTTGGGGTAGCCATCTTGAATTCTGAGTCTACCGCACCCTCCTGCATTTTCCCAGAAAAGATCAAGTGTCACCATTTACATGTAAGTGTTTAACTTAAAAACTCTGCTCCACTTTAGGAATGTTCAGTTTACATTTTTTTTAAGATTTATTTATTTTTATTGGAAAAGCAGGAGAGACAGACAAGAAGATCTTCCATCCGATGGTTCACTCCCCAAATGGCCGCAACGGCCGGTACTGCGCCGATCCAAAGCCAGGAACCAGGAGCCTCTTTCTGGGTCTCCCATGCGGCGCAGGATCCCGATGCTCTGGGTCATCGTCAGCTGCTTTCCCAGGCCACAAGCAGGGAGCCAGAGGGGAAACGGAGCTGCCGGGACTAGAACCGGCGCCTATATGGGATCCCGGTGCTTTCAAGGCGAGAACTTCAGCCGCTAGGCCATGGCACCAGGCCCTCAGTTTACATTTAAATATCAAATCTTAGAATGTCATGTGGAGTGTGGAGTTGGGGGTCCTCAGGAGGAGGGCACCTGGGGACCTCAGATTCACACGCCAGCTCTGACGTCCAGTTCCATTCAAATCTGCATGATTCCCATGGTTTGGTTTCTCGAAGCAGTGTCACTTAGACCTTTCTTTTCCTTCCTTTGAATCTCACAGGGTGAAAAAGGTGACCTGGGGATGATGGGCTTGCCAGGGTCCAGAGGCCCCATGGGCTCCAAGGTGAGTGGGAGCCACTGAGAGGGATGGCCAGGTCTCTCCCCGAGGCTCTGGAACAGGGGCTGCTCTCCTGGGCTGGGGAATGTCACCGACTCCCAGAGCTCAATGCCAGCATGTTTCCCTTTGCCAGCCCTTGCGGGACATCGTGCCAGGGGGTACCATTTCAGCTGCTCTCCTGAACAGCAAAGGTGGAGCCTCTGGCAACAGAGCAGATGGAATCGTTTATCCGCGTCCTCGTGGGGAAGAGAAGAGCAATAGTCTTTTGGGATCCAGTACAAGCCAACCCTCTAGGGGACTTTGTGTTGAATGCTGTAGTTCCCCCCGAGACTTACAGTGCAGTGTAGAGGCACACCTCACCCACCACCACCTCCAGAAAGTCTTCCAGTCTTGCACTGAATCCGGAGACCCTATGGGACAGACTATAATCACATCTTCTGCTTTCTTTTAGGGCTACCCTGGATCAAGAGGGGAGAAGGTTAGTGTGTGTCTCTGGTTTTGTTCCCCAACCTAGTCTGGGCTGCTGACTCCAGAGTCAATGCTGGGCAGAGGGTGGGTACGGGTCTCTGTTAGTCAGCAGCTTCGGGGGATGCTCTGACATGCCCCTATCATTGTCCATGAGCTGAGGGCTAAGTGAGGGCCTCCCGAGACAGGGCAAGTGAGGCAGGGAGGAGTTCCCAGTGCAGTGGAGGACCTGCACATGGGATGAGCAGCTCGCAAATGTTCTCCTAGGCAGGCTGGAAAAAGATAATCAGACTTCTAATCATATCGCTACACACACACACACACACAGAGTAGGAACCTAGTGACGAACTTCCTACAGGATGAGAGAGGAGCTGGGACCTAGAATTCTGTGAATTGTCTTTGCTTCATCCACGAGGTCTTTGAGTTCCAAAGAGGAGCTAGTTCACACAGTGCTCCTTTCCTGGCAAGCTAATGACATCTCAGCACCTCTCTCTGTGCCTATGCGACAAGGTGTAGGTTTAGGGAGCTTTTCAGTTTGAAAGCCCTGACTTCCTCTATGGAATCAACTCATTGAGCTCTCATGTTTCCTTCTAGGGATCCAGAGGCGAAAGAGGCGACCTGGGTCCCAAAGGAGAAAAGGTATGGCATTTCCATTAAAATGACCAGCTCCAGTGGAAATGGCGGCCCCGTGCCCTGCTGTGGGCGCCTGACCTCCTGGCAGCCTCACTCCTGGAGGTGGCAAAGCAGGCCCATCCCCGGGCAGTGCTTGCGCAGGGGGTCCTCAGAGCCCATCACAGCACTGCTTTCTCTTTTCACAGGGCTTCCCAGGATTTCCAGGAATGTTGGGACAGAAGGTGAGTGTCTAGAAGTAGCGAAAGCAGACCTCAGTATACAGTCAGGTCTCCCACGCACAACCAGAGTTTGCCTTATTGATTCATTGGGTAGGACAGGTGGGTTTCCCTAGGTTTGCGGTGGGGAGCACATTGCCCTAAACACTGGCGGGACCATCAAAGTTCGCCTCTAATTTAGTGGGAGGGTGACAGAGGCCTTTCTTTGCTCAGCTCTTTAAAGGCCACAGTAATGTTAAAAAGTAAGAAACTATTAGACAAAAGACTCAGAACTGAGCTACGGTGGGCAAGGCCACACCCAGGCCACAAGATCCCAGTGCAAAATGTAGGCTTCCTTGGTACAATGTAACTGTTGCTTCAATTTCCTAAACATTTTATTTTCATTTTATTTGAAAGCTGAAGTGACCAAGAGAAAGACTCAAAGAGATCTTTCATGCGCTGTTGTTTTTCCCCCGGTATGCCCACAGCAGCCAGGACTGGGCCAGGTGAAAGGCAGGAGCCTGGGGCTTCATCCACGTCTCCCACCTGGACAGCAGTGACACATGCACTTGAGTCATCGTCTCCTGCCTCTCAGGATGTGTGTTAGCAGGGGAGGGATGCCAGGTGCAGGAGCCGGGACTTGAACCTGGTACCCTGGTGTGGGATGTAGACATCCTGAGCAGTGACTTCACTGCTATGCCAAATGCCCACCCCCGCCTGAGTTCTTAACCCAGTCCTTCTTTAAGAATGGGGCATAGTGTTGTTTTAACTAAGTAGCAGGAAACATGTTTATAGTTAAATACACAAGTAGTTTAATATTTGGTGGATATCTTGCTTAGGACAAGACTTAATGGGGAAAAAAAGGACCTGGAGCACCCATCTAGCAGAGTGGCTAAGTCACTATTTGGGATAACTTGCACCCTGTCTCCCCAGTTTGCGTTCTGGCTCTGTTTATGATCTGGCTTCCTGCGAATGTGTACTCTGGGAGGCTTGGGTCCCTTCCGCCCTTGTGGAAGACCTGAATGGAGTTCTAGGCCCTTGAGTTCAGGCTGGCCCAGGCCTGCCTGTTTCGAGTATTTGGGAGAGAAATAGAAGGACAATCCCTCTCTCACCTTCCAAGTTACAATAACAACAACAACAATAATTGGATCTGGCACGATAGTCTAATGGCTAAAGTCCTCGTCTGTAGGTGCCAGGATCCCATATAGGTGCCAGTTCATATCCTGGCCGCTCCACTTCCCTTCCAGCTCCCTGCTTGCGACCTGGGAAAGCAGTGGAGAATGGCTGAAAGCCTGCACCCACATGGGAAACCCGGAGGAAGCTCCTGGCTCCTGATTTCAGATTGGCTCAGCTCAGGCCATTGCGGCCACTTAGAGAGTGAACCAACCAGCAGATGGAAGATCTTTCTCTCTGTTACTCCTTTTCTTTGGAAATCTGCCTTCCCAATAAGAAATAAATAAATGTTTTTTAAAAATTAAAGGTGACAGTTTCAGATAACTCAAAAATATCTGTTAATTGCAAATGGAGAGGTGTGCAGATAAGATAAAAACTTTGAAGGTAGCAAGTAATTGACAGGTTTTTTGGAAAGATTTGTTTGTGGTTAAAATCTGGGCAGGGGAGGGATGGGTGTGGAGTGAGAGGAGGCATCAGAATTGATAGAAATGTAAAGATGGTCAATTAGAACAGCTCCTGCACTGCTCCTGTGCTACAAGTTGCTCTCACCTCAGGAATTGCCCATGGCAATCATTCTTTTTACATATAGATCTCAGATGGTAATGTTCTTGAAACTTTGAAAAATGGGCTGCCTTCTTAGTGTTTTTAATTTTTTAAGTTAACTTTAAAGTTTCATTTTCCTAACTTAGGTAAATAAATTCTGTCTGCCCATATCCAATCAGTCAGTGTGATTAAATATTTTCCAGTCACCATCCACTCATTGATTACAATTTTTTACCACTTCAAGGTATCAGAAACCATTTCTACTATCCTCGATGGAGTGTTGGGTATTTACATAAACAAATCAAAGGAAACGTGAAAGAGAAAAAAGTCAATCTAAACACATTTCAGCAAGGTGTTCATTCAGTGCAATGATGATTGCCAAAGAAGAATGAATTTCTGTAAAACTAAGACCTCTGCTCTGGCCACCGGGCAGCAGACTCACCTGCCGAAGAGTTCTCTTCCCCTTTCATGGCAGGCTGCCTTTAAGACAGAACTGATATGATAACCATAATCAGGTCTTAAGAGAGAAATTAAATCAAGAACTTACTGGCTGCCTCCAGTTTCTGAAGAGAAGGGCCACGTTCCCATAGTCTCTGAACCAGCTATGCTGTTGCTGCTGCTTTCTCTCAGGCAAACATGACAGCCCTGGCCCACTAGACAGCCAAAGGAAACCAGCGCACACACCTCATGGTCACACAGATCGAGATCTCCTCTCATGCCCTCATTGCCTACAGTGGCTGCAGACAATTCACAGATTGAAGAATGATTCTTGGAGAGGCAAGACGTTGGTGGTTTGACTTGAGTACATTGTAATGCTGGCTGAGTTGGCAGATCATTCCAGAACTTTCTGTTTGATTCTTGCTGTGTACTGGTGTTCTCTGAGATTTCCACTGTCGCATAGAAAGGTACACATAGAAGGTTCCTGGCCACTTACTCTCCTTTGATTGGCTGTAGTAGCTCTTCGTGGGGGCCGGATGCTGACCAACAGGAACTCATGGGTGCTGCTGCCTTTGGGTGTTACCGTGGATAAAAATGATGCAGTCTGTGGATTCATGCTCCAAAGAAACAGTAGGTGGGATTAGAAATCTAAAAGGATATGAGGGAGGAGAGGAACTAAGATGAAAATACAATTTTTTTTTTTTTTGCAAAGATTGCCCTGGAACTGTGAAATTCTACAATACTTGCATTTGGTTCTGATGGTTCAACACAGGGCTTTTTAGCTAAAAATATTATTGACATTGTTTTTTACATTTTTTGTAGTAACCATATAGACCACTTCAATATGTATTTTGAACATCTCTCCAAATTTTTAGAAAATGCCCTACAAGTGGATATGAGCCCAAACTCAAAGTGGTGTTTTCTGAGGAGTGGCAAGATGTGATCCTTATTGAAGATACTTGAATGAGCAGAACTGTCCGATCTTTCAGGCATCCTTGGATTTAAATTTGTGTTTAAAATAACCCACAACATAGCACAATATGAAAATCTAAAAGGGAAAGTGTTTTTGCTGGATAGCTTCTTGTGTCACAGGCCCCTGTGTGATGGAATTTGCATAAGCTTTCCACTCCAGTGCACTGCATGGTGGTGTCTCTCTCCCATTTGGTCACCAACACATGTGCTACCTCGTGGCTGTCCCTGTTCCTCAACAGAGAACTCACCCAGTGCTCGCGCTCTCCTGTCTGCCTCTGCGCTGGAAGATGGGTCTGCCCTTTCACATGATTTCATCAGTCTCCCAAGCAGCCCTCCAGGAAGCGTTGCAAGCGTCTAAGGGGAGTGTTCTCAGAGCCGCTGGTTGCATCAACACATGTGTGCACATGGCTTGCTCCAATCCTTTCCTCCTCTTTCTTCTTCCCAGGGTGAGATGGGCCCAAAGGGGGAACCTGGAATAGCAGGACACCGAGGACCCACTGGGAGACCTGGGAAACGAGGCAAGCAGGTAAGGATCCTGAGATCGGAGCCTCCTGGGCAGAGGGTTCATGGAGAACAGGCAAGTGAGATCCATCCTGGCTATTCCATCGCCCCAAACTCCACACTTCTCTGAGCTGGTGGACCGGAGCAATACCACATCCAGGAGCCTCTTGGCTCATCCAGGCTACCTATCATCAGAGGTGGATAGAGTAGGAGGCCCTGCTCAACTTGTGTCTGAGACCAGAAGCAAGGGTGGGTCTTGGTTCATGAGCACAAGTCTATCTTAGTCAAAGCAAATGGGGAGTGGCAGACAGAGGTAGTCATTTACCCAGGCAGTCTGCTTGTCATTGCAGTGTCACAGCCATCAATGGAGTTTTTCAGAGAACAGTCCGAATATTTCTGTGCTGGTGAAGGGTCTTGTAGGTCTCAAGTCTAGGGTGGTTTTCTCCCCTACTCAGGCCCACAGTCTGCAAGTGACCTTCTGCATTGGTCTGATGATGCGTTCAGGGATCTTGCTCATTCTTCCAGTCCCTGGCCAGCAGGCTCTTCTTTCGAGCCACATAAGAGAGTGGTTCTTAGGAAAGAGAGCCATGGTTAGCACTAGAGCTGTGTTGAGTGCCTCAGAGAAACTTCTGGTATTTTCACTAATGGGTAACTATTTCTGAGACAAGATGTGCCCCTTTACTTTTTAATTTTAATTTAAAAAATTAATAAGTACATTGTAATTTATGCTTGCTTTCACTTTTAAAGTTTTATTGTTAATAGATAAATCCTTACTGTGTATATGTATGGGGTACATGATGGAATGATAAAAACAGGCCAATGAACATAGCCGTCACCATCAGCGTTGATCATTTCTTTGTGATGAGAATATTTAAACTCCATTCAGTTTGTTGGCTTTTGCCTCTGTTCCTATTTATAGGTGTAATATCCAATGTCACAGGAAACTTGGGAAATTCAGAAAAACAGAGAGAGGAAACCATCTGAAGACCTCACACTGAGCATTCCCCTATTGGCTCTGTACCCAGAGCCAACCCCACCCCTGCCCGGATTATGTGTGATACTGGAGACAAAGGTTTTTCCATCATTCAGTTATTTCCTTGATCTAGATCCTTGGTTCTGAAACTTGAGCTTATCTCTAGAACTGCAGGGGGCTGATTAAAATGCAGAATTCCTGCATCAGGCCCAGTGGCCACTACTCCAACTTTGCCTCTGGTGGTTCATCCCCAATGCCCAGGCCTGAGTTCCAGAGGGCTGACTCTCCCGGTCCTGGGCCTTCAGCGAGAATTTCTGGTTTTTAGAAGCTGTCCCTGTGACTCTAATGTGCAGGCAGGCTTCAGAATCACAGAAACACTCATTCTAACTCTGGTCTTCTCCGACTAAAAAGATAAATGTCCCAAGGCTCCAATCTGGATGGTAGAAATGTGCAATGACTTTCCAAGCCACAACATTTTGGTCAGATTTCAGAATTGTCCAGTGTGTGGTACAGTCATGGTTTCACAGTGACACCGCAGATAACAAGTACCAAAACACTAAACCCTGAAAAAGGAAAAATGAAGAAGAATCAGGACTCTTATCATTTTCTATCACTGATAGTTTCAACGCAGAGGGTTTTAGCTCTGGGCTGTGTACTTTAACTCCTTTTTGGACAGTGCTTATCTTTTCCTGGTGAGAGCTATAGCTACGAGTGGCCATTTCTTTTTTAGTTAAAAATTATTTTCAAGTCAGAGAAAGACACACAGGGTTTCCATCTGCTGGAAGTTTGCAAATGCTTGGAGAGAGAGAGTTTCTATCTGCTGGAAGCTTGCAAATGCTTGGTAACAGTCAAGGCTGTGCCAAGCCAAAGCCAAGAAACGCAATCCTGGTCTCTCAATGGGTGGTAGGGACCCAGGTACCTAAGTCAGCACCTGCTACCTGCCAGGGTGCACATCCGGAGGAAGCTGAGATTTAACCTTGGCACTGTGATATGGGAAGCAGACATCTCAGTTGTTGTCTTGACTGCTAGACCAAACACAGTTCCCAGAAGCCATTTTTTATCTCCATTGAAAGCTGCACCTGATCCTGCTTTGGGAGCACAAAGAAGTTGGGAGAATGAGCTCCTCTTTGCTGTCAGATATTGGAATGACCTGTTAGTTCCAGACTCCGAAGGTATTGCAGGTGTCTGGGTTTTTGGTCTTGGGGACCTGCACAATGCTTTCTTTTCAGCACCATGCAACTTCCAACTGTGCGACCTCGTAGGAGAGCGTCAGGTGTGCTGGGCCAGTGGCTTCTAGGGGTTACTGTAGATCAATCCAAAAGCAGGAGTCAGAAATCCAGGGTAGAAATTGTAAGCTAGGAGTTTAGAGCTGTTTAACATAATCACCTCCATTTATCCATGGGGAAACTTGAGAGTCAGGTAAGTGGAGTTCTTACCCAAGACCCCTCAACCATTCCACCTAGGGTCAGAACTCTGAGAGCCGAGACTGTCTTCTAAGGACACATCTTCGGTTCATCAACACACATTTCAGAGCTTGCCCTTGGGCAGCTTGGAGAAGCATCTATTGACTATTAGAAAAACCTGCCATTGTCATAGGTCACTGCCTGGGACATCGACATCCCATACAGAAGTATCTGTGATACAGTCCCACCTCAGCTTCCGAGCCAGCTTCCTGTTAGTAGTGTGCACCTTGTGGGGCAGCAGTGGTGGCTCGAGAACTTGGCTCCTGTCACCTGCAAGGAAGACCCAGGTGGGAGTTCCTGGCTCTTAGCTTCAACCTAGCCCAGCTCTGGCTGTTTCAGTTGTTTGGGGAGTGAACCAGCAGAAGAAAGAGCTCTTCATCTCTTCATCTCTATCACTCTGTCTTGCAAATACATAAAATTAAGTAAATAAACTTGTCTTTAAACATCAGTTAAGGAGGCAGTAATCACCTTTCTTGGCCGAGATGACTCGACTTTATGGCAAGGGAGGGAAGTATAAAGTTTTTCCTGGAGAGCATTGCTGGTGGTGGCGCGGCCGGTTCCGACCTTGTGACCCCGTAATGGAGTATTCCGTTACCACTGGTGTCAGAGTCAAGGAGCATTTTCAGCTCCTTCAGTCTTTGGCACGTTCTGTGCTCAGAGACAGCTGACATGGCTCTTAGAAAAACATGCCTGAGCTGACAGTGTGACTTCCTTGGCTGTTCTGGAACCCATCTTGATATGCTGCAGCTCGGGCTGGGGCTGGAGAAGTCACCCAGAAGAAGGTAGCTAGAAACACACTCCGACCTCGTGGCTCCCACATACAGAGTTCAGGAAATCCCTGCACATGGCCAAGACAGTCCCCAGAGCCATGTTGACAAGAGAGCAGGCTAAAAGTCACAGCTGGGTTTGGGAAGGAGTCCTATGCATGCCAGCTTCCCAGGCCTGGGGAAGATTCCATTTCATCGGATGGGCCAGCCTACCCACATGTGATGAGGTGTGCCAGGCCAAAGATGCCAGACATCAGTCACTGTCTGCTTAAGCCTGGGATGAGAGTGTCAGCAAGTAGCAAACTGCCCTGGTTCTTGGGGTCAATGTTAAGGGGGCCCTGAGAGGGGACAAAAACTGTTTCCTTTTGAAACTTATGTGGAATGGTTCTAGCTGCAGGCAGGGCTTTGTTTAAAAATCAGGTTCTTTCAGAAGGAGGAAACCAGGCCAGATGCTTTGAGAAACAGCTTGTTTAACACAGCTCTTCCATCAAGGCAGGCCCCGTTTGGACCCCTGAGACACCTGTTAGCTCCACAATGCATCCTTGTGGATGTAGGTTTGTTATTCCCCCATTTACAGATTACAAAACCCAAGGTGCCAGGGTCTCACCATCAAGGTTAAATCTTCTAACTTGCACTTGTTTTACCTTCATCTTGTGTGTTCAGCTTCTTTCTCCTCCCTCATCTGACCTGGGCAAGGGAGGCAAACAAAACAGATTCAGGCCACAGAGAAGATGTTACAGAAATGGCATACATAGGCTATCTGCCATGATCAAGGGCGGGCAGTGTGAGAGAGGAGGGATGAGTCATGTGGACCTCCGAAGGAGGGAGTGACATCCAGTGAAAAGGCCAGGGAAGCCTTGCAATAAAGACAATTGGGTTGAGTGCTGGAGGCAGAGAGGAGGGTAGAGGGAAGGCCTTTGGGAAGGGGACTAGAGGTGCAGTGCTGGAAGGCCAAACACTTGGCAAGGCTGGCATAAGATGGGCAATTCTGACCTGGCAGAGCACCACAAGCCAAATTAAGAACTGACTGGTCTGCAGCCTGGGAGCAACAGGAATGCATCGAGTGGGATGAAGTGACGCGGTCCAGCCAAGCAGGCAGAAGGCTTGAGGCCTGGCCCAGCTCTGCCACCTGGATGCCACATCGTGCCCTGAAACCTGGCCCTTTCTGAGCCCCCACTTACCCTCTGCTCCATTAGGACAGTAGCTGGGATCGGCTCCATTCGGCTGTCCTATGCCATGCTGCTAGGCCAGCTGCTGTTAGGCATGCAAACATGCATCTGACATTGTCACAGACACCACCAGTCCTGAGTGTTGTAGGAGCTGGCAGTCAAGACTTCGGGCTGTATCTTGTCTTGGGCTCTTGTGCCTGAGCACTGCCTGGTTAACAGAGAGAAGTGAGGAAGGAAGTTTCACATGGCATGCTGTCAAATCAGACTTTGTCTTTCTCTCTGACAGGGACAAAAAGGAGACAATGGACTTATGGGCCCATCCGGCAAGCCTGGACCTCCTGGTCAGCCTGGCAGCCCGGGGCCTCGTGGGCCGCCAGGCACCCCCTCTGCAGGTAAGAGCTGCGCTGCACACTGCGCCTGCCCAGCCTCCCTGACAAGGCCCAAGGGTCCAGCAGGAAGGGGTCGGAGGCTCTCTGATGTCTTTATCGAAGTTCTCCACGGTGGGGCTCATCACCCTTTACGCAAGAGAGATGACTGCCATTCTGGGACAGTGTTAGGAGAATGTCCTGAATGTATTTTCATTCACTATAGCAAAAAAATGACTGGAAAGAAATGTCTGGAAAGAACCCGGAAGTCTAGTACTGAAGAAAGTGAAGCTAGAGCGGCCCTTTGCGGTCCTTGTTAAACTTGCTGGCCTCGGCCCTGGCGTGTGTCCCCTAGTCAGCGCCATGCGAGGCCTGTCAGGGTCCGTCCTCGGGAGAGGTGCAGCCTCACCAGGTCCAGGGAGGCTGTTTGCTGAGCAGCACAATTTCTCTTTTCTTTGTCTTTAATTATATATATATATATAAAAAAACAGAGCAATTTTATCACAACTTTGTTCTAAAAAAATGAGAACATTTTAGAATTACACAATTGTTTCTGGCCAGTGTACCCCACCGGGGAATGGTAAGGAATGGCATTGTGTGTTAGAACCTTTCCACCCAACTAAAGCTAACTCAGGGACTTCAACAGCAGGCCTTTTGGGGTTCTCTCCCAGCCCCTTTCACAGCCTCAGGGGACCCTCCCAGGTCGTTAAGGGAACTAGGTCTGAGATGTACATATCTGTTTTAATGACTCATCCTGCATACTTCTGGTGTGCAGTCGCCCCCCCGCCCCATGAGCGTTAGCTGCCAACTCCAGCGACCGGGCGGTGTGGCCTGCAGCCTGACCTTCATCTTTGGGAGGGACCCTCGTAGCCTTGGAGTGCTTGGGAGCTCACAAAACCAGGAACTAATCCAGGAACACGAGGACGCCGAGTGTGGTCCCTAGCAGACGGAGTCTTAAAGGTCTCCTGCGCCTGTCCACTTGCCAAGCCCAGCCCCGTCGGACTCGCATTGTGGTTCCCTCCTGGGGCGTGGGGTTGGAGAAGGGCAGGGCTGCGGTTGCTGGTGCTGCTCCCAGCTTTGGAGTGTGACAACTGCATCTCTGGTGCAGACCCGGCTGCCTGGCCTTCCAGCCCAGCCTGCCCTCTTCCTCCCTGCCACCACCTGCCACTCTCTGCCAGAGCCCCCACTTTGCTGCCCTCTGCCCCCAACGAACACCATGCTCTCTGCTAAGCTGGAACATTTTCCTTTGCTCTGTGGCCCTGTGTGACTAGAGTTGACACTGCTACCCGCCCTCCCCACCCAGCACAGTCTGCAGCCTTTTCAAAGCCCTCGGGACTGAGGGGACCGTGCGTGGCCTCTCGGTCAGGGTGCCCGATGATGCGTCTCCCCTGCCTGTGACACAGGGCAGGTTCTGCCTTTCTGCCTGGGAGGGGTGTGAGACTGAGTCAGTACCACACCCCACGGCGCCGGGTAGGGATGGGGGGTGGCATTGCGTGTCCTCTCTCTGGATGGATGCCCCTCCCTATGCCTGCCTTTATACCACTTACTTTCTGAGACAACGCCCAGAGCCAGGGGAACGGGGAGGGAACAGGCAGAATGGGACAGTGATCCTGTCTGGGGTAGTTCTGGGCAATGTGAGGAGACAGGGAGGAATGTTGAAGAGATGCCTGTGGGCTGGGCCTGGTGGGATGTGATCAGAGCCAGACCAGGCCCAGGGGCACTTCTCCATTTTCAGGTGGGCACACGGGGGTCCTAGCCCCACACGGTGCTCATGTTTTGCCAGGCTGCTGGAACCCCTGTCCGCAGTCCATCACATAACGTCGGAGGGCTCTAGAGCCCACAGACCTGTCTGTCCTTTCTTAAGAGAGGAGAACCTTGAAGCTCAGACAGAAGTAACTTCCACAGGCCACAGCGCTGCCGGGGGCTCACCCCGGCACAGGGCCTGCCTGCAACTCCCACCGCCCCAAAGCCGCCCTGGGTGACGGGGTGCTAGCTCCCCTGCCTTCCTCAGGTCCCTCTTCTGACCCACTCCTGTCACTGCCAGAACAAGTGGGAATTCCCTCCCCCCAGGCAAGGGGCAGAGCTGTGAGGTCAAGGTGAGGAAGTTCAGGCTGCTGTGCCCTCCTGGGTGGCCTAGCCGGAAATGGTCAGGGTAATAGATGCCCCTCTGACAGCTGGGAGGAAGCGACAAACTGCTGTGGTGGCAGCAGGCTGCCTGCCACATCCTGTCAGGTTCCGGTGCCCAGAGCGGGACCAGGTGGTACAGGCAGAGCTGGGGAGGTGAGAACTGCTTCCTTCCCCAGTCCCAGGGAGAGAGGGGCTGAGGGCGGGCAGGGAGCGAATAAAGACAAGACGCCTTTAAGATGTAATTTGCAGTAATTACATTACACATTTGGCTGAGTCCTTCCTGCACCCAGACAGGGTATAAGTGAATCAGTGTGGCACCCGGGGATTGCCAGCTTCCTGGGCCATCAGTATTCCTGGACATTGGACCTTAGGGCGGCGTGGTGTTAATTAAGTCAAACATGAACTAACTCTTGGCCTCACCACTAATTAGCCGGGTAATAGGACGGACTCCTGACGCTCCAATCAGGCTTCTGGAGGAGACACTGGGGTCACAGAACTTTCCAGAAGGCTGTTCCAAGCTCCTGCTTCATGCCCGTGACTACGGAGCATCTCTCACTTCAGTTTTCCTGGATGCTTGGTTACCTGGAACATTTTGGAGCTGCTTGGGATTTTCTGAAACTCACAAAGTTGTGTCCCTGTCCATTGTTGGGACAAACAGTCCCAGTCGGACATGCAGAGCGGGCAAACCTCCTCTCCCCTTTGGGCTCTGGGCATGTCTGCCAGTCAGCTGAGGAAGGTTCCTAGGGTCTGGATTTGTCCTCGGGGAGCTCTTCTGCAACCGTAGCTGCTGCCTTGGCGTTCCACTCTGCCATCTGCTATGATTTCATTTCCTGCCTGTCAAAGATCTGTGTGTTAACGTAGCCTTCATGTGTGCCTTATGATGCATGCTTCTCCCTTCATGGTCACAAAAGGGCTGCTGCAGCACCAGGCATCTTGTCTGATTTCAAGACAGAAGTGGGACACTATATCTCCTAACAGATGTGTTTTTTCCCTCATCTCCTCCATATTTGGGGTAAAAAAAAAAAAAAATCATCTTTTAGAATCTTGCCTTCAGGTCTACGTTAAAGTGCTATGGTCCTGGACCTCTGTTGAGAGGGTTGCTCTCGGCTTGCTGGGCTGTTGGCTCTTATCTCCAACTCTAGTAACACAACTTCTGTTGTTTCCTAGGACAGCTCGTCATGGGACCCAAGGGGGAAAGAGGCTTTCCTGGGCCTCCGGGAAGATGCCTTTGTGGCCCCCCACTGAGTGTGAACAACCCTTCTTCTGGGGACTCCGTGTACGGGTCCAGCTCCCCCCGAGTTCCTGTGGTAAGGCTACTCTGGGCAGTCCAGGCCGGTGCTGCACAAGGCCCCATGCCTCTCAGGGCTATCTAAGTCCTTAGGTGGAGTTTGCACCTCCTCTGGGTACACCCTGCAGTGTAGGGAAATCATGAGGAAACGGGATGGGTATGCAGTCCCATGGGCATCCTGCAGCCACTCCAGGGTCCCTTCCCCTGGTGCCCTGGCAGTTCCTAGGGCACCTTGCCACTCACCTGAGCCACTCGCTCGGGGACTTCTTCGAGTGTGCCTGTTCTTGAGGCCATTTCCAGACCTTAAATTACTTGACTGTGTGACATCACCTCTTAATTCAAGTCCTAGGAACACTTCCAGGGATTGAAAATGGTAAAGTACAGTGTTTTGCCTTCAGACTCGGATTCCAGGGCCTGGCCAAGGCAGTGGGAAATTACACGGACATGTACTGTGAGGCCCTCTGCCGCTGGCAGGCAGCCCCGGGAGAAGGGGACGCATGCCCCTGCATCTCCCACATGTGTTTTCTGGAATGTTCACCAAGTGCCTTCCCCGGCAGATTTTTGTGGTCAACAACCAGGAAGAGCTGGAGAGGTTGAGCACCCACAATGCCATCGCCTTCCGCCGAGACCAGAGGTCGCTGTACTTCAAGGACAGCCTTGGCTGGCTGCCTATCCAGGTAGCCCTGCACCCCCAGGAGGCGGGAGGGAGAGTCAAATGACTGGGCAAGTGCTCCAACCCCTGCCACTAGCCTGATTATGTTAGTTTATTTTATTTTTATTTGGAAGGCAGATTTTACACACACACACACACACACACACACACATTGGGTTCACTCCCCAAATGCATGCAGCAGCCAGAGCTGAGCCTATTCAAAGTGGTCCAGGAGCTTCTTCTGGGTCACCCATGTGAGTTCAGGGTCCCAAGAACTTGAGCCATCCTTTGCTCCAATCCTAGACCATAAGAAGGGAGCTGGATGGGGAGTGGAGCAGTCAGGAGTTGAACTGGTGCCTGCAGGGAGCTGGATGGGAAATAGAGCAGCCGGGACTCAAATGGATACCCAGATGGGATGCTGATGCAACAGAGAATTGCTATACCACTGTACCAGCCCACATCTTTTATTGGTTTTAAGATTTATTTCTTTGAAAGAGCATACGAGACAGATAGATACAGAGATAAGAGCAATCTTACATCCAGTCCTTCACTGCTTGAGTGCCCATAGCAGCCAGAGCCAGCCCAGGGCCAAAGCCAAGAGCCTGGAACTCCATCTGGGTCTCTTATGTGGGTTCAGGGGTCCAAGCATGGGGCCATCTTGTGCTGCTTTTCTCCGTGTGTTAGCAGAGAGCTGAGTGGAAAGCACAGGAGCCAGGACTCTGTCCTTAGCCCTCCAATATGGGATGCCAGCATTGCAAGAAGTGGCTTGATGCACTGAGCCGCAACACTAGTCCCAGGCTGCCATCTTTAAAGCCCAGCAGGCAGCCAAGCACAGCCTAAGCATTGGTTCCCAGCACCAGGGAACTCCCTCCCTCGCCGCTGCCTGGCTGTACTAGCCTCCGGCTAACCCTGCCTTTCTTTGGCCAGCTGACGCCATTCTACCCTGTGGATTACACCGCAGAACATCGTGGCACCTGTGGGGATGGGGTTCTGCAGGCCGGGGAGGAGTGTGACGACGGTAACGCCGATGTGGGCGACGATTGCATCTGTGAGTAGGTCCCGGCCACAAGGACCTGAACAGGCAGCAGGTGGGGTGGGCGCGACACCTGTGCATGTCAGGGAGTGGCCGGCAGGACCTACCCCCAGAGAGGTCTTCCTGTCCCAGAGTCTGCCTTTGCCCTCAGTCCCATTTCTTGGAAAACCTACCTTGCAGTTGCTAAAGGTGGCAGTGCCCGGCCTCTCATATCCCCCAGGCAGTGCTGTGGGAGCAGAGGCTGCCTCAGGCCACAGCCCGGCCTCTGGGCCCTGCCACAGCAGCAGCTTTGGAGCCAGGGAGGCAGTGGGAAGGCAGGCTCTGGCGCCACCAACCAGCTCACTGCCAGGCTCCAAGACAACCAGGCTCAGGGAATGGGGGATGGAGCGCCAGCTACAGCTCACAGCCTTGCTGTACTGGCCTGTGAAATGGGCGCTATGCTGTCAGTTGCTCAGATCTGCAGAGGTGCAGTGAGTTGACCTGGGCGGTTAGTATGCACTCCTTTCTGGTATGTGTGGGTGGAGGGCCAGTGCTGTGCCCTCAAGAGCTCAAGGGGATGGTGTCACTGCCAAGGGGTGGGCATGTGGCTCAGTGCTGTGGGTGCTCTATCTGGAGCTGGCAACTCCGGGAGAATGGCCTTGCCTGCAATCCCTTCTGCCCCTGTGGGCAATCCCTTCACCCATGTAGGCACATAGCCTGGCTTGCACGCTACAAGCCCTTCCCTCTGTAACAGCACAGGGCCCTGGAGACGCAAGGCTCGGCCCACCTGAGAAGAAGCACCACACCCCCCACCGCCTGCCCACATGGAGCATCACTCCGCCCCTACCTCCCCAAGGCTGGTTATGTCAGGGGAGGTGACATCCAGTATTCCAGTTTCACGCACAAGGACATGGCAGTGTGCCAGCCCTCAGCTAGCGAGCAGCGAGCATGGGCCAGGCCCGGTCTCCTGGGCCCTGTCTCACAGTGCTCAGTCTGGGATATGGGGCAAGAGGACAAGACATCCTGGGGAGGGCACGGAAGCTCTGTGGAGGCTGGGTCTTTAAACTGGTACAGTGTTCTGGGCGGGTGTCTCGGGCCGGAAGTCCTTGCAGGCTGGATAAGCCTGTCCCAGGCCTGCCCCTTCTCACACTGTACTTACTTGCAGACTGTCACCGGGCCTACTGTGGAGACGGGCACCGGCACGAGGGCGTGGAGGCCTGCGACGGCTCAGACTTTGGCCAGCTGACGTGCGAGACCTATCTCCCCGGGTAGGCAGCCCCACGAGCCATCAAGAGCCTTCCCCAGCCCCTCCCGTGTGCTTTCATTGCCTGAATGGCCACGGTGATCAGGACTGGGCTGGGCTGAAGACAAGAACTTGTTCAGGTCTCCCGCATGACGGCCCAGGGACCTGGGTCATCTGCTGCTGCCTTGCGGCACACCAGTAGGGAAACTGGATGGATGATGGAATGGCCAGGGTTTGAACCAGCATCCACAGGGGATGCTGACAGCACCACAGGCAGTAGTTTAACCCCCAGCACCACAACGCTGCCTACCCTGCACGCATATTTTTGAGTGTCTCTCCTGTTACTGGTACTTTGAGGACACCGAGGGATGGGGGTGAAGACAGCGCATGGCTCCTGCTCATCTGGGGCTTTCTGCTCATCTGTGGGCATACGGGAGCAGCCACCTGATGCCTTCTGAACTAGGCAGACAGAGCCCCAAGGGGAGAGTCTGTGCCCAGGGATTACTGTGGCTGCAGGTGCCTCCTGGGCAGTAGCCTGTTGAAGGGTACACAGATCCTGACCTGGCAGAGGACCCTTGGCTATAGCCCACACTCTGAATGCCCCACCCACCTTTCCAGCAGGCCGGTGGGCACGAGGTGGTACGAGCCCTCACATCTCATCGGCTGGCTGTGGTCTCCCCAAGAAAACCTTCCCCTGCAGGACTGCTCCTGGGTGCGTTGCCCAGGATCCTGGCCCCCGCTGGCCCATGGGTGCTGCTTCTGTGTCCAGAGTGGAGCCTTCTGGGCTCCTCTCCTGGTGTGGAATGGGACCGACTTGTCACAGATCAGAGTAGTACAGCATTCAGACTTGAAGCCCACTCAGGCGGAGCAGGTGCCCACTTTTCACACTTCCCTGTGTGCACTGCCCCCTGTCTGCACGGACAGCTTGTTAAAGGCACTTGCCAAGAGGGCAGGTTTGAGCTGCTTGAAGTCTTCGTGCAGGCCGTTAAGTGTAGACAGCTGGGTATGTGCGGAGTCTAGGGTGGAACCCAGCCACGACTTACCCACAGGCTCACTGTGAACATGCGTGTCGAGGTTATGGTTGGGCTGTGTGGAGGTGTGATCTACGCTGCTGTGTGGCAGCCCCAGTCACACTAAATGAGTTAGAATTCATGTACTTCAAGCCCCTGGCGGCCCCATCTGGCGAGTGGCTGCTGTCTTAGCCTGTGGAGATGCTGACTTCTGACGATTCTCCCGTGCTTCTCCTGTGCGGGCCTTGGCAGAAGGTGCTGCCGTCACAGCTGTGCAGTCCGGGCAGGGCTGCCCACTGCCAGGCCCTGGCCCATCAGCCCCCTGACTTAATTCCTCCCCACAGCTGTGTGCTTGGCCTGTGGTGGCCCTTGGTGGCCGCAGTCGTGGTGGTCTGCCTGCAAGTCCCCTAAAGTGATCCCCTAGAACTCAGCAGGGGCGCCTCTGCCTGCCGCCCACATGCACCCTGACCTGTTTCCTTGCCTCCCACAGATCGTATGGAGACCTGCGCTGCACGCAGTACTGCTACATCGACTCCACGCCCTGCCGCTACTTCACGTGAGGGCAGAAGGACGGGTGGGCCGCCCCCCACGGCACCAGCTGCAGCTCCTCTCCCCTCCTGCAGCTGGCCTTCCGCTGTCCTGGTCCAGCTTCCACCAACCTTTGTGTGACAGAAACAAGAACAAATTCTTGCTGCTAAGATGTGCTTGTAAGTCTGACTGGAAGACTTTAGGACCACTGCATCCTGTCTTAACCTAAACTTCCAGAACACCCTCCGCATGCCCACCCTGGAGACTGTTCCCACTGCCACCATATGGCTGAATGGCCGGGCTCCCAGATGCCCCTACTCATCTGGAATGCCATGGCTCAGGCCGTGCATTGGCTTCGCACTGTTAGACACTCTTACAGACCTATGGGGCTGCTGTGGTTGGTCCTGACCTATTCTGGGGGTGTCTGGCCTCCCCACCCCTTGGACCTCTGTACCTGTGGGCATTCCCAAAAGGGCAGCTGGCTGCAAGTCTCTCAAGGCGCATGAGCCACAAGGCAGGGAGGCTGGGCAGTTCTCTGGGTGTGGTTCACACTGCACACCTGTCAAGGACTCCTCCACTGTGCACAGCCCAGCCCAGCCCACGGGGCCTGCAGGAAGAGACCCAACTGTGAACAGTACTGAGGCGGCCACCCAACCAGAGGGTGGAGGCACGCTAGGCCACTGGTCACGTGAAAATGACCATACAGTGGCCTTTCTCTGTTCGATGGTTCCCAAAGGTTGTGGTTTGCAAACCCCTGGCAGCATCTGGACCTCACGGCTCCCACTGCACCTTGATTCCTGATGTGTAAATGCCCATCGTGTCTACTTCCGTTCAAGGGACTCAGTAGGCAGGTGCTTGTGTTTCCATTGAGGGCTCCCTAGTCTACCCCCAACCCAGACAGAGAATGTTCCTGTGCAGGTGCCCTCGTCTCTGCAGACTCTTGGGACGTGCCCCCTTGGCACCGCTGCGCCTGCGTTCCACGTAGCTGGCCTCCCACGTGTGCAGCAGAGCCCCCGCTGTGCTGGAAGATGGCCAAGTTGCATGTGTACATGAGCTGAACCGCCAGCACAGCAGACCTTTAGCCACTAGACCCAGAAACAGCCGTGGACGTGGGCATGAAGCTATTCAGTGGTCCTGCGTGCTGAGGACTCTGCACAGGAATGGCCATCTCCTGGGGGAGAGGGAGGGGTCTCAAGATCATGCTGCTGTGACACCGGCCCAGGCAGTCTGCAGAGTGGGGCTTGCCAGGCAGCCCGGTCCCTCTGCCTGCGCGGCATGTCCTGGGAGGTTGGCCTCCGTGCTGCTGCAGCCATCATGCTGGGGCTTCTGGAAGGGAAATCAAGAAATAAAGGCCCTTCATCTACCCACTGTGGCTCTCTTCCTTATGGGCACAGCTGCACTGCTGGGTACAGTAAGGGCTCTGGATTTGTTCTGCTTCTCGAGTACTATAGAAGGTGCTAGAATGTGGCAGTATTCCAGCTTCCTCAGGGATGAGAGGAGACAGGCCAGAGATGCAGTGGGATTTGCCCAGTCACAAAGCCTGGAGTTTCTAGCCCAGCCCTGCCCCCGGAGCCTTCGTGCTAGGCCCACGCTTAGGACAGGCTGGAGATTCAAGAGCACCCTTGAAGCTGACCAAGAGGGGCCGTGTCCTGGGTGCCCTGCCTTGCGGACTACTACTCCGGCGGTCCTCTCCATAGAATCCTGCCACCAGGAGTCCATGGGCTAAGGCAACACAACTGTAGAGGTCGCCACACCTCTTTTCCAGAACGGGCTCCAGCACCCAGGAAGCCACAGTCCCTTACCGCAGCGGTCCTAAGCCTGTGCCCGGGACCTGTGCAGGCCTCTTCCTGTCTGTCCTCCAGGATGTGGCCTGCACTTGCCGCTGAGCCTGAGGGTGGCCAGGGAGAAGCCGTTGTAGGGACTGCAAGTGGTGCTGGTTAGGCAGGCTGGGGATTCCACAGTACACAAGGCTCCTCTCGGTGAGGAGGTGGCAAAGGGGCTTAGGCTGTGGGTGTGGTCCTGCCCTCCCCCTGCAGGCCTTTGTGCAATCTACCCACTGCACGTGAACCTGGCCTCGGGTCCCCGTGGAAGAGGTTCCGTCAAGGTAGACTGGTAGAAGGTGTTGAATCAGTGATCTGTTGGTCTGATTATAGCACAGCTATTTAGACATCTAATATGTGACAATGCTTGTCTGAGCCCCACAGTACCAGGGTGGGCCTGTTCCCCACTGTATTTCAAGGGAGGATCCTGAAGGGCTAAGGACATGAAGGGGTTCAAGGTCAACATTTTCAGCCAATGGAGAATCACATGAATTCTGCCCTGTGGCCATTGTGAAATGGCAAAGGGGAGATTGGTGCGGCCCCCAAGTCCCCTAGGCTCCCTGGAAGCACTAACTTTGTGATGTAGGGAGTAGGTTTCCCAGGAGCACACCCCCTGGACCCCAGAAGTGAACCAAACAATAACAGAACAGGTATCCAAGGGTTCCCCTGTGCCAGGCAGATGTTTCCCGAGCCACTTGGTCCAACACCTAGTGCTCTGCATGAGTGCTGGGCCTGATCACAGCATCCTTTGTGACTCAGAGGCCTCTGTGGAGACCTGGGGAGTCTTTTCCTTCCCATAAGAGGCCAGCTCTGTGAGCTCACTGGAGCAGCAGCAGTCGGAACCACAGGCTTTATGGCAAAGCACTGCAACAGAGTGGAGGCTCCCAAGCTGGGCCCCATGGCTTTGGCCATCCTCTGCTGCTTTCCCAGGCCACACTAGGGAGCTGGATGGGAAGTGGAGCAGCTGTGACACGAACCAGTGCCCATATGGGATCCTGGTGCATGCAAGGTGAGGACTTTAGCCACTAGGCTATCATGCTGGGTCCCAAGAAACAGCTTCACTAAAGGAAGAGATGAACTGTCTTCTGCCCTGGCCCCACCCTCTATAATTTGTAGAAATGAAAAGGGGTCATCTACAACACCTAAAGTTTGCTTCTCAAGGCATTGGTAGATCATGAAGTTTCAGAGGTCATTTTGGTCCCTAGAACGCCTTTGAGGACAAGGAGGCATAGCTGGCCCCTCTACCCAGCTCTTCTAGATTTTGGTCTTTAAAGTTCCCATCTGTGACCTGGGATAAGTTGAAGGCAGTGTCATGAGTCAGGCTCATTGTTTGGTCCTGGGCAGCTGTTCTCAAACTGCAGGGTTTGTCAGAAACATCTGGAAGGGCTGCATCTTGTCAGACCAATTGGTGGTCCCCAACTAGGTTCTCTGATTCAGGAGATCTGGCATTCAGCCTGAAAAATCTGAATTTATTTCATCTTTCGAAAGATTTATTTTTCTTGAAAAGGCAGATTCACTGAGAGAAGGATAAAGATCTTCCATCCTCTGGTTCACTCTCCAAGTGATCACAACAGCCAGAGCTGAGCTGATCCAAAGCCAGGAGCTGGGAGCCTCCTCTGGATGTCCCACGTGGGTGCAGGGTCCCAAGGCTTTGGGCCGTCCTCGACTGCTTTCCCAGGCCACAGGCAGGGAGCTGGATGGGAAGTGGAGTAGCCAGGATACAAACCAGTGTCCATGTGGGATCCTGGCGCTTGCAGGTGGAGAATTAGCCAGTTGAGCCATTGTACCAGCCCCAAGAATCTGCATTCCTAATAAGGTATCAGAAACTACTGATGCGGGCAGAGTTCTTCAGTCACTGCTTCGGTGACATGACTTGCCTGTGGATCATACTAGAAGCTGGGAACTCGGTGAACAGCACCTTGCTACTCCTATATTAAAGTAGTGGGGTCTATGTCCCCTCCTCTCGAATCCCCAGCTTTTAACTGCTGGGACCAAATAGTGTGTTTGTGATGCTATGTGGCTCCCCAGGCCAGATCATAGAAGGCTAGATGGTTTGGAACTCCCCTCCTAGAACTGGCTATCATGGAAGAAGGCTGAGCACCCTGATGAGATGTCACGTTGAAGGGCCGGGACAGGTTCCTGGTTGAGTGTCCCCGACATGTCGGTGAAGCCAGCTCAGACCTTTCCGTTCCAGCCCATGGGGCAGCTGAGTAGCACGGTGAGCTCAGCTGATGCTACAAGCAAACTGTGCACCAAGCTCTTTCCACTTTCTAACTAACAATTCTGTGAGATAAAATGGTGGTAGTTTTAAGACATTACGTTTTAGAGCAGTCTGTTACTTAGCAATAAAAAAAAAAACTGGAATAGTGTCCAGTAAGGAAGGGTAGGGAAGACAGTGAACTAGTCAGACCAAGAGGAGCCACTGGCTTGCATCTGGTGCCCTCTGCAGGAAGCATGAATACAAAGCTGTCTTGGCTCCTCCTGGGACTTCAATCAGGCAAGGAAAAACATGCCAGCTCTAAGGGGCCTTGCAAAAGGCGTGTCTGTGTCTCAGCCATGGCAGGGACATGCGGTGTTGGGCTGTTGGAGATGGGTTTTGAAGATGACTAGATTAACAGCTCAATTCTTACCATCTCCCTGTAGCCACACCCTGTTTGCAGAGTGCATTTCTCTACCACGTGACTTTTAAAAAATCGGCCCTGTGACTTGCTCTGTCTGGTCAGTGACACGTTACCAAGTGTGACAGAGGTACTTCAGATTTTCTTTCTCTCCCATCTCTGTCTTTGCCACAAACCCAGGATAGGTTGTAAAGAATGAGACACATGGAACACAGCTGAGATACTCCAGCTATGATGGCCAGTATCACCCTAGATCTGTTGAAGAACAGGACTGTCCAGCAAGGCCAAATCTAAATCACCAATCCACCTGTGAGCAAAAAAAAAAAATGCTGTATTAAGCCATTGTATTCCAAGATGCTTTATTACACAGCATTGGCATGGCAATGGTTCCCTAAAGATGAAATTCCCTAAGGGGATGGATAACCTTCCATGTCCCCAGTGAGCTGGTCCATGCCTCCTTGAACCTTAGGAAATGGCCAAGAGGCACCATGGATCGCTGCTGCCCAGGGCTCACAGTCCAGCAGGGGACCAAAGATCACACTCAGAGATGGGCAGCAGGGGGACGCAAGCAGGTCAGGACAGTCTCGGGGCAATGTCCACTAGTGGGTGTGTGTGTATGCAGCTTGCATGGAAAGAACTAGGTGAACTAAGATGACTGCAAGGTGCCCAGGAATTCAGTTTAACCCCTGCATGGTTTCCGACCCAGAGCTCAGCCTCTGTTCATCACAATGGCGTCAGACACCACGGGGTTTACTAAAGTCATCTTACAGTTCTGAACTTGACACTTTTTAAAAAACCAAGATGAACACACCAATGATCAGAAGTACCAAATTAAAAAGGAACAAATTTAGTAAATCAGGTTTAAGCATAAAGTTTTAAAAAGAACCCTAGGTTGCTCAACACTTGTAAGAATAAGACATTAAATGTATTGCTGACCTTTATTTTTAATTTAAATATAGTGATCTTTCAAGAGAATAAATCAAAAAAACAAAAAAAATTTTACACAGCAAATACTTTACATAAATGTAAACACGCACGTCTACTTCATAATTAAGCAAAATAAACTTTCAGGTGCAAGATTTGAAAAATCATTAACGAATGAGACGATGAACCTAAGCCAGAAATAACAGAAGCAACAACCGCCACAGTTCCTAGGGCTTCACTTGTCTTCTCTGCCCACTTTCTGCGTAAGGCCTGAGTGTCAGAGCTCCTATCTTCCTTGCCAAATGGAAAACATCCGATTTGGCTGTACCTCACACACACACACATATATGTCATATACATATATATCTCCACATAACAGGTTAATTCTTTTAAAATAATGTAATAAATACATCCTCCTCTCACACATACACGCATGCACCCTGCTGAACCAGCCTTTCAACTGGGGAAGTAAGGATTCTGGAATTTTTCAAGTTCTCCCACCACTGAAGCAGACTTCACACACAGGAGGGATTCTGCTACAATGCACCAACAACAGCTCACAAGTGGCATCATGACAAACCTCTAATTTATTTGTACTCCATCTCCCTAGACGGAGTTCCCAGTATGGCTCATTTTGGCTCCTCACTCCCTTCACCCCCTCCCCGCCCGAGGACCCCCCAGGATAGCAGACACCGCAGAGATCATCACTCTGTGACTTCAGAATCAAGGGAATTAACAAGGGTCTTTCCATTTTCTGTCTGGCCTCTGGTCAGTTTTCCGTCTTCTGCCCGACCAGGCAGAGCCCCTGGATGGCTACTCCTGCGGCCCCCTGGGAATGAGAACAGAGCGCCTGTCCTCCTTGGAGCAGGAGCTGCACCAAGCAGTGATAGAGCAAGAGAACGCAGTGTGTGTTCGCAGAGGGCACTCCCCGCAGGCTGACGCCAGCAGGAAGGTCCGTGCAGATGGCACGTGGGACAGCATCAGGAGTGGGGAGGGGCCGGCCAGGCAGGCACGTGGCAGGAGGGCTGACTCCTATTTTGGTGGTGCAAGCATCCTCATGAGAAGTTGTAGGTGAGCCACTTCGGCTCTTTAGATAAACCGGGGAGTTGGGGCACTGACCCACTGGAGGCTCTGTGCAGAGCAAAAATGGAGCCTTGGCAGAGAACTAGGACATGCCAGTTAGGACACAGGACAGGGGAGGGGCCCAGAAAGCTTGACTCACCAAGCCCAGTGCCACGTGCAAACAAACCTCTCGACCCACTGTGCTACAAACCACAGGTCTGTCTATATTTATGTAAGTCAAGACTTCTGGAGAAAGGAGAGGAGGAGAGAGACAGGCAGAGGCTTAAATAGGTATTTTTAGTTCAAGTTCCTGGAATTTGCCCCAAGTAGGAGCAAGTTAAGAGAAATGAAACAACTCCCACAGTTACAATTCAAGTTTCCTAGTCATGACTGCACCTACCCTGAGCTGTCATTACCAAGGACTCATAAAGCAAGTAGTAATCCCCCACAGACATGTCCTGAGCTGGCGCTGAATCCACTGGACCCTCGGGATGACCAGACCACCTTCTCCTACACGTGCGTGAAGTGGCGTGGGTAACGGCCACCCGACCCATCTCCAGCTCCCTGGGCACTCTATAGATCCAGCAGCCAACGCTGCAAGGTGGTTTGAGTTTCTGGACCATCTCCCTTCCTTCCCCACGCTGACTGGAGACCGACAGGCCATCTGCATGGAGGGGCCCAAGGAGAGGAGTACCAAGGTCATGATGCTCTCTGTATTAAAGTAGATGGACATTTCTCAGAACACATTCATTCTAACCACAGAAGCAGACAAGCATGTGCGAACTACAGGACAACTGTCACACATCACTCAATATGGAACATTTACTAGTGACCAGCTTCCTGTGAAGAAGACAGATCATTTTGGAAACTTCACAAAAAAAGGCAACCTTGTGACTTTCTTTTGGTTGGACACAAAAACACACATTATCGTCTGGGAGTCAGGCACCAACTCCAGCACAAGGGCATGATTCGAAAGACCGTGAAGACTGTTGGCTCTATGCGACAGAGCTCCTATCTTGGCTCTGGTGTTTCTGTTCAGAGGCTGTGTCATCACACCCTCTTCTGTGTCCACTCTCCCAGTAACATCCACAGACTGACGCAGCCTGGACCAAACATGGAATTAAAGCGCCCTTTTAACTAATCATGTGACCAGCACAGTGGCTGCTGGTTTCATCTGCTGGCCTGGCCGCATGCATTTAGGGACTGTCTGGGTCTAAATTCTAGTTATAAGTGTCCAACATGTGAACTTTCAGAGTCTATGGAAAGCTCCAATGCATACCTGAAAGAGACTGTGTGAAAAACTTGGATTTCAGCAAATGAAGTTCAGGGAAGCGAAAGCCGAGCAGCCTGCAGTGCGGGCAGACGCCGGGCTTCTGGCCCCCAGCTGGAGCCAACGGCTCTCCTGAGCTGCACCCAGCTGACATCTGGGACTCCAGCCTGAAACCCACTTCTACACAGGTTAGCCGGGTGGAGCCGGACAAAACTTCCTTACCACTTTGTGTCAGCAATTTCAAGTGGTTTTTAACATATTTCTATGATGCAGTTGGAGGCTTCCCCCTCTCTCCTGGTTCTCAGAGATTTTCATTTCACTGGTGCAGACCCCTCGGCCAGACTGATGGCTGCTGAGGTTGAGACGGTATCACCGCTCTGGTGAGGGTGTGGCCTGTGCGCACTGCGGACCAGGACACATCTCTCCACTTCCCACACACAGAGCTAACTGAATAGAAATGTAACTGTTATTCTCTGGATCTACTTAAACTTCGAAACATGAGACTGTTCACAAATCACATAAGGAAAATCACCCATCACCACTACGGGAAGGACTTGAATGTCCGAACAGCACAAGCCCCCCACTCCTGCCAGTCACTGAGCCCCATCATCTTCCTCTTGGCAACGGAATCCACGCTCAAGCAGCCTGATCTTGTGGCGTTTCTGCGCACCAAAAAGGAGATTTCGAAACATCCGGGGTTAGTCATCACTGTCACTGCCAGACTCACTGAGCTGCAGGTCATTTCCTACAAAAAGAAAGCAGAATCAAGCCAAAAGTACTGAATACCTACAGCAGAGTCCCAGCTGACACTGCTTGGAGTAAAGAAATCAGAAGTGAGAGCCACCTTGTGACACAGCAGGCTAAGCCGATGGCATCTCACACTGGAGAGCCGGTCCAAGCCCCACTGCTGCATTTCCGGTCCAGCTCCCCGCTAGGAAAGCAGCAGATAACAGCCCGAGTGCGTGGTCCCTGCTACTCACGGGGACATCAGAAGGGAGTTCCAAGGCTTCTGGCTTTGGCCTGGGCCAGCCCTGGCCATTGCAGCCACTTGGGGAGTATAAATTTTATTAAGTGAGTATTTCTAAGATGTTCAATGCTAGGCTGATTCTTTTCATTTATTTTAAGGACTCTGGGTACCCTGAGCCCCTTTTCGGGGGAGTCTGGTCATAACACTCCTCCTTTCTAAATTGCTCGCTGTGACATCATCTTTCCTGTCTCAGCCTACATGGGTACAGGGCGCGTCTGGCAATGTCTTAAGACATTTCTGATCAACACGGTGGACAGGGGGACTAGTCCTGTCACACAGGAGCCAGGTGAGGGTACTCCCACCACCCACCAGCACAAGACAGCCTCCCAAACAAACACCTCTCCCGCCCCCACCATCCACAGCGCTGTGTTCTTCTCCTGCTCTTTTTTTTTTTCAATCAGAAAGGCAGATCATATTTACGGACAGCAGGAAAGACAGAAAGATCTATCTGCTGGTTCACTCTCCAAGTGACTGCACCGCCAGAAGTGAGCGGATCTGAAGCCAGGAGCCTGGAGCTTCTTCCAGGTCTCCCACGTCTGCAGGGTCCCAAAGCTTTGGGACGTCCTCCACTGCTTTCCAGGCCACAAGCAGGGAGCTGGATGGGAAGTGGAGCAGTCAGGACATGAACTGGTGCCCACATGGGATCCTGGCACTTGGAAAGTGGGAATTTAGCCACTGAACCATCATGCTGGGCCCTCTCCTGCTTTATGTTACCATAAACTGTGTTAAAAGCCAGACACTAAGCATTTCTTCCTTTCTCTCCTGCAGGGGCGAGTAGGTCTCCAAATACTGCCCAGGGACATTTGTGGACTACATCTGGAGGCAAATGGCTGGATGGTAGCAGGCAGCTCCCCAAAACCTGGTGTGTTTCCCTATTTTACACAATTTGCAAAACCCAATTAGCATTAAGGTAAGAGGAAAGAAAAAGTTCTGTGCTTTTTTGTATTTTTTGTAACTGCTCTGCAACTCATTCCTGCATGCTCCAGACCATCTTGGCCAAGATCCTTCCTTGAGCTTTCAGTTTTCAGGCGCACAGGCAGGAGGTACACCCAGGCACACCCCCACCCCCGGAGCCAGGGGCCGCACACTTACTGAGGGTGTTCATGAGCTGGCTACTTCCCTGGGGCCGGCTGGTTCCGTTGGCGACGGAGGCTCTGTGGTTGTAGGGCTGCTGGTGTGAAGGCTGGGCCGGGGAGGCCGGCCCGCTGTCCTCGCCTCCGCTGCTGGAGCTGTCGTCACTGCCCGAGTTGCTCTCGGAGTCGGAGGAGCCGCTCTCGCTGCTGCTGCTCATCTGCTCAATGATGTCCACCTCGGCCCTCAGCTCTGAAAGGGAACGACAGGACGTGGGCCACGTGCAGGGCAGAAGCCGCCCCTTCCGTAAGCAGTGAGGTGGGGAAATCAACAGCAACAGGAACTGCTCAACCAAACTGCAACTGTACAAAAACGTTAACCAAACTAGTAAAACAGAAGAAAAATATTTAACTCATTTCCAGCCAATGGAAACACCAAAGTCACCTGAAATAAAAAAGAGCAAACTGTTTGAGGATAATGACTGCTCTGTGTAAAAAAATGAACTAAGCCCATTTTGCCTTCATCTATAAACAAACAAATATCCTGTATGTTATGGGATAAAACTCTGAGTAAGAGAACTACTAGACTTAAGGCTGAAAAATACTGTTCCCTGGGAATGTTTGAGTGCCTGTTCTGAATCTGCCTCCAACCAGCAGGTGGGCATCGGTCCAGTTCATTTATCCACCTTCACTGTTGTTTTTTTTTTTTTTAATACAGGTGCAAAGCAGAGAAGGAACAGCACGCCTTACCTAACCAGCAATGCCACTGACCACAACAGCAACACACAACAGGACTGACAGCAGGGAACATGTCCAGTCTTCCTGTCCAAACCTACAGGTAACTACATGGTCAGGAGTGGCTACGGGTCCTTTAAGCGTAACTGGCAGCAATTCAGCACTCAGGGTCTAATTCTGATTCAACTCAAGTGAGCACTTCTGTAACAGCATGCCAACATTCAGGAGGGAGGGAATAATGAAGAGGGGGAGACCCTGCCCACAGGCAGCCTCCCCACAGGGCGTCCCCACATGCCCACAGGCAGCGTCCCCACAGCATCCACAGGGCGACCCTGGTGCCCACAGGCAGCGCCCACACAGGGCGGCCAATCCTGTGTGCTCACAGGCAGTGCCTCCACGGTGTAGAGGGGCCGACGTGCCCAGCACGGCTCTCCACCTTTCCCTGTGTTCTGATATGCATTTGGTTTTGTTTCATAAAACTCTTCTAGAAATACAAAACACAGCCTCACAACTTGTAAGGGTCTGGCAGACTAAAACCACCCAGCGTGCTGGGGAAAAAGGCTCAGGATTGCCACGGCGAGCACCCAGCCAGAGTGCTAACACTTTGGGTCAGCAACCACTTTTGCTGGTTTAATGGCATCTTTTTTTTTTAATTGCATTTAATTTTATAACAACGTTTCATAGGCTCTGATGGTTTCATGGCATCTTTCACATGCACATGTTGTGTCTGCATTGGGTATGGTAATGGAAGTGTCCCTCTGAATGGGGTCCTAAGTTAATGCAGAGCCCAGGGGCACTGCCACTGTTGGCATCCACCCCCCGCAACCTGGACTCTTTTCTTCCTAAAGCTTTTAAGGGGCTGTCTGAAGCTGAAGATGGCAGGCACACTTGCTCAGACCGCAACAATGGTCTAGGCAGAAGGCTGCCAGGGCCATGGCTCAGGTCTCTACTCCTGGGCTTGCCCTGGTCAAACTCGACCCATGCCGACGCTCCCATCCTAACCGTAACTCTGCAGGGAAGGTTCTGGTGACAGGAATGCCCACACTAACACAGCAGCCTTATTTCCACAAGAACATCACTGCCTACGCCAAGCAGCTGGTGCAGCTACAGAAAGTCTCTACCTCTTTTGATGTCATCCAGCTGCGGCTCAGGGGAGGGGTTATCTTTCAAAGGAGACGTTTTTGGTCCAGCTGCAGGCTTGGTCGGAGCTCTGAAGGGCATAGGTGGTGGAGGTGGAGGTGGTGGTGGTGGTGGTGGCGGTGGTGGAGGCTGCGATGGCTGCGGGGGACGGTTGGGCTGCTGCTCCATTCGGGCCTGGATTTTACTGCTCCCCTCGGCTCTGCAACAAGAGAAACATTCAACCAGAGGGATGAAAAGGTGGTTCAGAATTGTTCAGCTCACTGGTGCTCCTGCAGCACTCCATGCTCTTTCTGGACTGCCACAAAATTTTGCCATCTGTAATACCCATGACAACTTCTCGTTCAATGTGAGCGCCCACTACATTCCAGTACTGAATGCAATCTGAGTCGCCCACTTGGGCAGCAAAGGCCCAAATACTTGGGCTATTTCATGCTGCCTTTCCTGACACATTAGCAGGGAGCTGGACTGGGAGCAGAGCAGCCAGGACTTGAACTGGCATCCTGACATGTGATGCTGGCTTCGCAAACAAAGGCTTAACCCATGGTACCACATTGGTTCCTAAAATAATTCTGATTTCATATTAGACATACAATGCCTGTTGAAGAAAGTATTGAAATTCACTACTTTTAAAAACTGGCACTATTTTCTTCTGGTATTATGTTGATCTCAAATGTATTTTATTAAAAAGTCATGTTTTCATTGTCCTTTCAGTATTATTAATTAGGTCTCAATAATCATGAGATTAACAAAATCATCTTAATAATAATAAGTATACCTATTTCCCCAGTCACTCCTATGTGTGTTTCTTTTTATTGATTTGTCTGTAGTGCTGGCATCCCATGTGGGTACTGGTTCGAGTCCTGGCTATTCCACTTCCTATCCAGCTCCCTCTTACACTCTGGCAAAACAGGAAGATGAGTCCTTGGGCCCCTGCAGCCATGCAGGAGATCTGAAAGAAGCTCCAGGCTCGTGGCTTCAAACCAGCCCAGCTCTAGCCCCTGTGGCCACTTAGGAAGTAGACCACGGAAGATCTTGCTCTGTCTCTCCTACCCCCTTTACGTTTGACTTTCAAGTAAAAATAAGTAAATACATATCCATATAAACAAAGCAAGAAGCAAACAGGTGACACGCACAGAGCAGCGGAGCAGCAGCCTGCACTGGTAACTCCCATACCTCGTCTTCTTGACCTGAATGCTGCTGCTGAGCTTCTCCAGCACGTACTCGCCCGTGTCATGGTTGATGATCAGCACGCAGTCTTTCTGATAAGGCCGTTTGTTCCCCTTGAACACAGTCATGGGCGGTGTGGAGCCCTAGAGGCCACGAAGACACGAATAAGGTCTAATTACAGGCACCAGCTAGGAACAGCAAATTTGCAGACAGAAATCTAAGGACTACCTCATTAACTCCTTCAGCATATCTATTACACAAAATCTCAATGAACCGATTCTTACTTCAACTCCTAGTGTTGCAGGTAAAAATAAGGGAGAAGTAGTAATACACCCACGATCTCTGACTGGGCCTAAGTAATAGAGAAGAGGTGTACAAAAATGTTAAGGGCCTGGAGCAATGTCAAAGACGACGGTAAAGTACGAAGAGAGAAACTTGTACTCTAAGTGCACCCACCACGTCACCACATGCTTCATCTCTGTATTTCTCTATCATAGGAGCACGCAGCTCTTCTCACTCCTGCCAAGTAACCAACAGAGCATTCCTCGAGGCAGGGAGGTCACCAGGCTGGGCAGTAAGGACAGTGTGCCACTCACCCACCTTGCCACTGACTGCTCCCTGTGGTCTCAGGCCACAGGCTGACACCTGCAAGGCAGCCCCTCTCCTTCACTGGCCCTTCCAGCCTCAGCCCGTCAGCTGGCAGAGGAAGAGCAGCACCGCTTCAACTGCTGGCCACACCCTGGCTGACCCTCCTATAAATTCCCAACCTCAGCTCCACTCCAAGCTTTCTTCCAGAAGGATGCTTTCCCCGACATCTTAGTATCAACGTGCTGTATTTTCTCACACTGACTTAAATTCTGGACCATAAGCTCACAAGAGGTACTTGTTTTGTTCAACACTTTATTCTTAGTACCAAGCAAGAGACCAGCATGAATTTGGCACTCAGTTAATATGTGTGAAATATAGAATGCCATGCCTTGCCTGCAAGCTCGCACAGGAAAGCTGCCGAGGGATAAGCAGGCTCAGGGCTCATTTATCTAGCTCCTTCATTTTACACTGGGGAAACTAAGGCCCAAAGGGAGATGATGCAACCTGACAAAGGCAAGAAGTTAATGAGATGAGTTGGAGAAGGCAGACAACAGCTGTCAGCATGGAGCTCAGTCTCCCTGGCCGGAACCCTGGGTTTCCTTGAGCAGCTAAGCTCAGCTCTCCCTGCTCCAGGACAAGGGCCTTAGCAACACCTTGCATGTCTCTGTCATCACAGCCTTGAGGGAAAGGGAATTTACAAAAATGTCTTTCTGCAGGGGTTCTCAACCCAGTTCTTAACTGAGTTCTTCACCCCTCAATTAGCTGAAATCGCCTGTCTCCTTGGCAGCTGGAAGACACCAATCTCCCTTCTGCCCCAGCTTCTGGCCAGGCTGCCCTCCGCTCCTGAACTGCTGTGGCTATGGACTGGCATGGCACCCAGGATCTCTCTTTGGAATGCCTCGGAAACATTATTCAAGTCTGAAAGAGGGGTTAATTGTGTAGAAAGGAACTCTACCTATGCTGCAGCAAATGGGGGTGGATTGGGGGAAGTGTGTGGGAAAAATACCATTCTTTTTTTGTCTTTAAATAACTTTTCTGGGAGGGAAGAAGGGAATGTCATTATTTCTTAGAATTGTAGCCAATTCAACCTATACTGAATCTGCTAAAAATTAAACTGAAAAAAGCATTTTATTACTGAGATTTTATTTTTTATTTAACTTGAGGCAGAGAGAGATCGTCCATGTGTTGGCACCAGCTGCTGCCTGGCCAGAAACCCCAGGCTCCAGGGACCCCTCGCCTCCTGCTTCCACGGCGGGCAAAGGCAGTCAGCAGACCCAGAAGCACAGCGGTCAGGGCGCATGCCAGGCACGCCGGTGGGGTCGTGGGGTTCCCAGGCAGGGAGTTCACTGTTGTGTCAAACTCCCAGTGCCTGGCAATCATTTCTGACCAGGCTCCTGGGCAACAGAAATCCACCCCACAACCCAAATTCCTTTGTTTCTATATGTTAACGCTTCAGAAATGGAGAACTTCATGAGCAGGAAGGAAGCTAAAATCGCAACAGCCTTGAGCAAGGATGTGCCACGCTCTACCTGAAGGAGACGACAATGGGGCGTGCACTTACAGGGATGTGCGGCAGCGTGATTGTGACCTCGTCTCCTTTGCCCACCTGCAGCTCCCCTTCGCAGGACGTGTCTATGGATGCCGGCTTAAAATCATCTAAGGGAAAGGAAAAAGAGACACGACTCATTGGCTCACTTAACAGGGGCTCCCTGGGACTGCCGCTTATAAATTAAACATTTTACTACTCAGATACAGGGAAAAGACGACGATTCTGAATACTTACACAATTTCATAAACCCCATGGGCCGGCATCGTTCAGCTTCAATAATTACCAACTCAGGGAGAACCTTACTTCATTTATACTTGCCATATATTTCCCTGACTTCCCACTGGGTTACTGGGGGACAGGAGGAGCCAGAACTTACATCCCATTTTGTTATTAAGCAAAGGGCCCATCAAAGTTAACGCCGCATCATCCCCAAAGCGGCGCTTTCTTAGGGCCCTGACACTTGCAAGGAACAGCATCTAACACAGCTCGTGGCTGTCAAACTGGGATAAAAGCCCACAGCATCATAAAAGCCAGTTTCCTTGTGCGCAGACACCGGCGGACCTCCGATCTGCCACACTGGCGTTCCAAAGCTGACAGAACGCGCTGTGGGGGTTGCAAACAGCATGGCTGGCGCCTGCCTGGGTGCTTCCCTGAGGCAGCTCGGGTCCAAAGCGATCAGCCAGGCCCCTGCACACAGGGAGAGGACGCTCCGAGCTGGACTGAGCAGCCTCGGGCCGGCGTGGCAAGCGATGGACCCGGTGGATCGTCAGCATCCCAACCTCTAACGAGGTGTTGAGTCACATCGCCAGCTCCCGTGTCAAAAACAAGTCCTGACGGCTGCCCCAGGAAGCCAGGAGCTCCTGACTCACCAGGGGACACCCCGCCATCCAGCCCGGGGCCCCGACACGGCGTGATCCTGCTTTCCTATCGAGCCGTGCGGGGTCCCCGGCTCCCAGATCCCTGCGTTTTTCTCCCCGCTTCACCCAAGAAGAACGTCGTCCAGGGACACAGGCAGGGAGGCAGGGAAGGAGGAAGCCCACCCTGACGGCTGGAGGGAGCCAAGCGCACGGGTGGAGCGGGGAGGGCAGGGAGAGAGAACATTCCGGGAAGGAAGGGCAGCGGCTGACAGCAGATGGCGGGGAGATGGGGGGGATGAACGGAGGAGACCCCGGGAAGCAGCCAGCGGCCGGGCGAGAGAGGCACCCGGAGATCCCGGGGGGAAAGCCGGGAAGGCAGCCGCGCGAGGCGTACTCACAGCGGATGGTGTGGAAGGAGGCCCGCGGGCGCTTCTCGAAGCTCTCGCCCAGGCGCAGGCAGTGCTCCTCGCGGTCCAGCAGCGGGTTCGCCGTCCCGTTCATGGCCCCGGACGGGCCGCGCGCCCGTCCCGGCGCTCTCCCCGAGCTTCCGGCGCTCCCGAGACACCGTTCCGGAGCGCACGCACGGAAACCCCGGGGCCCACCGGGGACCGGAAGCAAGTGCTCCCCTGGGCGTCGGGGTCGGGATAGACACTGAGGCGGCCGGGTCGCGGCGGTACTTCCGGCGTCGGAGAGAGACTTCCGGGCTGTTCGCGGAAGGGGCGGGGACAACGCCATGGTCCTAGAGTTCTGCCTGGAAAATCAAAATTCTGGTTTGGCTTGTCCCGGCTCTGTTTTTTTTTTTTTTTTTTTTCCCCTCGGCACGGCGGTTCCCGGATCCTGCCTTCAGGGGTCCGGGCTTGGCTAATAGGTGAGCGCGCCTGGCCTAGCCCTGGGGGTGAATGGGAGAGACCGAGGGTGGCGGGGTGACCCTCGGGCGGGGGACGACGTCGTGTGTCCAGCGGCTCCCAGGAACGTTGGGCCTTCGGGACTGTGGCCTCGGGGAGTCGCGGGTTTGATGTCGCTCGGGTTCGTGCCCCAGCGCCCCGTGGAGGTGGTCAGTGAGTGGTCGGAGACTGGGGGAGCCCTCAGGCTGAACCCCGACTCCGGAGAGGCTGTGGTCCCCCGTCTGACTGGCCGTGGGCAGCCCGGCTTTCAAGCCGGCTGTCGTGGTCGTCCTTCAAGTCGCCGTGTAAGGCGGGCCCCGAGAGCTGACGGATCGTTTTCTTCACCCAGGTTTCCTAGTCTATTCTTGAGACTGGCCGTCTCCTTGTAAATCACGCCGGTTTGTCGTCGTCCTGGAGTCCTTTCTGGCTGGAGTGACAGTCCGTCCAGGGCACGGGTGCCCGCCCCGGCGTCTGAGTGTCCTCCGCTGCTGCCAGGCCCTGTGTCTGGGACTCCTTTGTGACCTCGCTGCAGACCAGCGGGTAGGGTGCTGTGCACGGTCAGCCGCTCACCCGGGCTTGGGGAGGCGGACCCCCGTGCGTCCTAGGGAAGCGGCCGCAGGGAGAGCGCCCCTGCAGTGCCCCTGGGAGCTGGCTGCAGATGGCTGCTGTGCCAAGCCCAAGCCTGCAGCCCAGGCAGCTCAGCTCCGAGGAGGAGCAGAAGCTGAGCAGCGAGCGGGTGCTGGTGTCCGACTTCAAGCAGCAGCAGCTGGAGAAGGAGGCGCGGAAGAACTGGGACCTTTTTTACAAAAGAAATAGTACTCACTTCTTCAAAGACAGACATTGGACCAGCAGGGAATTCGGGGAGCTCAAGGCATGCAGGGAGGTAAGGCGGGTTAGTCCTGTGTGCGGGGCTGCGGTTCAGGGCGAGGAGGAGGGTGACTTGCGTCTATGGAAAGTGCGAAGTGGGGGAAGTTACCACAATTACACGGTGTGGATGTCAAGTGGTCTTAGAAGTTGCTTCAGTGTTAAAGGAGAAACAACTTCAATTACTTTATTATCTTTTTTAAAACTAATCTGGAAACTTTGGTAAACCGTTAAATAGTAAATGTGATTTCACATGTCCTGCTCGGTGAGGGGGTGGAGCTGTGGGCGCAGGCCCTGTTGGGGAGGGAGAGTCTGGCAGCACATTTGGTGCTGTGGTGCACAGGGGAGAGAGCTGGACGGCTGCCCCGGGTGGGCGATGGCAGCGGAAGATCTCAGTGAATGGAGCCAATGGACGTTGGGAGGGTGACATCCTCGGGGCTGTGGGGTCGGCAGCATCTCGGCACTGTCCAGGCCACTTGGACAGAACCCTCGGAACATGTGCACATTGAGACCCTGGGTTGATAGGTGGCGGTTCCTCGTCCCTGGGGACTGGGACGTGGGTGTACAGGCCTAAGGACTTGAGGCATCCTCTGCTGCTTTCCCAGGCCGTAAGCAGAGAGCTGGGGTACAACCCTGCGACCATGTGGGATGTTGGCTTTTGCAGGTGGAAGATTAGCTCACTGAGCCAATGCCTGCTGCTGCCACTACTGATGTCAGTGAACTATTTACCATACCTCTCATTTCAAAATTAATTTGGAAATAAATAAACATCTTGGAAAAAAAATGAAAAACATCAAATAGGTAAACAGATTTTTCTGTTTGAGCTTCTCAAAGTCTTGTCCACCAGTTCTTAAAATGAAAAAGACTTTCAACAAAAAAGTATTCAGCCAGCCACCATGATGTTGTTCACAGGGCGTGGGATCAGTTTCACAGAAGGCCGGGATCGTTATAGCACGTGTGTTGCCATGGAATCTGTGAGGTCTAGCACTTGTGTTTTTTTTTTTTTTAAGATTGATTTATTTTTATTGGAAAGGCATATTTATAGACAGAAGGAGATACAGAGAGAAAAAAAATCATATGCTGATTCATTCCCCAAGTGGCTGCCATGACTGGAGGTGAGCTGATCCAAAGCCAGGAGCTTCTCCCGGGTCTCCCATGTGGGTGCAGGGTTCCAAAGCCTTGTGCCATCCTTGACTGCTTCCAAGGCCACAAGCAGGGAGCTGGATGGGAGGTGGGGGAGATGGGACATTGGCAGGCACCCAGATGGGATTCCAGCTCTTGGAGGTTAATTGAACCATTGCAGTGAACCCCGTGCCCCTTCTCTAAGAACTTTACCTACATTCTTCTGTCATGTCTTCAGTAACTTTTTAAAGAGTGAGTGTTAATATTTTCATTTGCGGGTTAAGTTGAGGCACACAGCTAAGTGATTTGCCCAAGAATGCGGAGTGCAGGGGCAAGAGAGGATTTAAGCTTTAGTGCGGGCAGTTTAGTTCCAGGTAACCATTCTGCTAATTTTGTTTGTCTTCCTGCTAAACTGTGTGGTGTGGGATAGTAAGTGAGGCAGCAGTGTGAACTTGGCCTTCTGAATGCATTTGCCTGCTCACTTCCCGAGGCATCAGAAACCTGGTTATCCTGTGTCCTGGACTTTTGGTTTGGTTTGCTTCTTCATCGTGCCACTATAATGGACTGCAACTTTGGGCTCTCTTTCCCCAGTTTGAAGATCAAACATTGACCATCCTTGAGGCTGGCTGTGGTGTCGGAAACTGTTTATTCCCTCTCTTGGAAGAAGACCTGAATATCTTCGCCTATGCCTGCGATTTTTCTCCAAGAGCAGTTGAATATGTTAAGGTAGGTGTGTTGCCTTTGCATTCTGCCACATTTTTTTAAGTCATGCTATTTTTTTAAAAAAAGATTTATTTGTTTTTATTGGAAAGTCATATTTATAGAAAGAAGAAGGCAGAGAGAAAGATCTTCCGTCTCCTGGAGCCAGCAGATCCAAGATATCTCCCAAGTCTTCCTTTCAAATAAAGTAAATCTAGCATAAATACACAATGAAATTCTGCCTCTTTTTTTTTTTTTAAGATTTATTTATTTTATTGGAAAGGCAAATTTATAGGCAGAAGGAGATACAGAGACAAAGATCTTCCATCTGCTGGCTCACTCCCCAGCGGCCGCAACATCCGGAGCTGAGCCAGTCCAAAGCCAGGACCCAGGAACTTCTTCCGGGTCTCCCATGCACGTGCAGGGTCCCAAGGCTTTAGGCCATCCTCAGCTGCTTTCCCAGGTTACAAGTGGGAGCTGGGTGGGAAGTGGAGCTGCCGGGATATGAACCAGCACTCCCATAGGACCCTGGTGTGTGCAAGGTGAGGATTTAACCATTGAGCCATTGTGCTGGGTCCACTAGCACTGCAATTTATTTCCTAACGGTTAGTCACAAGAATGGTCATTCACCTCTTTGCAGCAGTACACAGGTGGGGCGGCCCTCCTTCCGGGCTGTGTTTATGTGTCAACATGGTGGTTGCATGACAGCGCTTCTGTTTGTCTCTCACTAGCAACACCCTTTGTACGACCCAGCAAGGTGCCGAGTGTTCCAGTGTGACCTGACTGCAGATGACCTGCTGGCCCACGTGCCCCCAGCCTCTGTGGACGCTGTCCTGCTCGTCTTTGTGCTCTCAGCTGTGCACCCGGGGAAGATGCACCTTGTTTTACGAAACCTTCACAAGGTTGGTGGCGGCTGCATGTCCCAAGCCCATGCTTGCCCTCCTCGGAGACTTAGGGCGTGTGAGTCACCTCGTTCTCACTAGCGAGGTGTCCCAGTCGGTGTGTGGAACGGGGTTTTCTGGCATGAAGAAGTCCCCCCAGAGCTGGAGTGGCTCAGTGCAGGGTGACTGCAGCTGCCCGGGTCTGTGCAGTCTTGCCATCAGGTGGGAGGAAGTGTGCGTCAGGGGGCAGGAGCGCGGTCTTGGTCAGTGTCGGATCCACAGCCTGGCTGCCCCACTTCATCAGGTTCCTCTTCCTATACAAAGGTGAGGTGATAGTTCCTAGATCAGAGGATTTTGGGGAAATTAGAGGGACCTTGGAGGTGCTTCACCCATTGCCTGGGACGTGGTAGGTAGTCTTTGAAAGCCAGCCAGGATTGCTGTCGAATAACCCAGAAAGCTTTTTGCCATTCATGATCAATTTGTGCGTGGGTCGTTTTCCTTCAGATGTAAGAGTTGTTCAATTTACTTATGTACTAGTGCTACCAAATCCCCCAACTCTTTTGTTATTAGAGAAGCTGGGCATATAAGACGGCAGAAGTGAAAGATGTGCAGTTTTTTCTCCTGCCTTAAAGGTCCAGGTACATGAAACTGTTATCATTACAGATATTTCTCTCTCTCTTTTGTTTAAGATTTATTTATTTTTATCGTAAAATCAGACGTACAGAGAGGAAGATCTTTCGTTCGCTAATTCACTCCCCAGGCAGCCTCAACAGCCTGAATTGAGCCAGTCTGAAGCCAGGAGCCTGAAGCCTCTTCCAGGTCTCCCACGTGGGTGCAGGGTCCCAAGGCTTTGGGCCGTCCTCGACTGCTTTCCCAGGCCACAAGCGGGTAGCTGGATGGGAAGTGGAGCTGCAGGAATTAGAACCGGCGTCCAGATGGGATCCTGGCATGTTCAAGGTGAGGACTTTAGCTGCTAGGCCATGCCGCTGGGCCCTGATTATTTTCTTGACTAAGCATAATTGCAAAAAGCAGTCAGAATTCATGAGGTCTCCAGGGAATGTCAAACATTTGGGACCGTCTGATCAGATTGAAGGGTGAGGCGGTATAGGCTGGGACTTAACTGCTCTTCTGTCTCATCTTCCCCACTAGGAAAATCCTGTGCTCTAACACTGAAAGCTGTATTCCTTTTTCTTCATTTTAATTTTTTTCAGCCGCACCATGGTGGCGTCTTGCATTAAGGGAACCTCCCATGAGTTCTGTTCTTTGTCGCTCATCTGCACTGTGTGACATCTCCTTGTTAGGTGATTTATGGCAGGCTCTCCTCCAGGGGGTCTCTCCTCCATTATCCCCTCCCTTACTCCTTTCTGTGGGGGTCTCTGTCACGCTTTGTATCTTCTTTCAAGTCCCTGTTTGTGGGCACCACTTGTCCAGCAGGGATGGACTTGGTGCATGGAGCCGATAACACCACACGGGGACTACTTACTGACGGTCCATAGCTCGAGTTTATTAGTGGCATCAGGCTTTTACAGACTGAGAGGCACGAAGTGAGGAGCTTACTTAGTTCCCATAAACCTGGGTACGGAACCCTTGTCTGAAACGATCTCTTTTTGCTTTGTATATCCAATCAAGTGTCTTCATTCAAATTCTGTCCAATCAGTTGTTCTCATACAAATGATATGAGAACTTTTAATATTCTATTATCTAAAATAGTCATTTCTCATCATTCTTTTGATGGAAGACCCAGGCCTCTCCATTTATTCACTTATTTACTTACTTACTCCAAAGGCAGAGTTACAGAAAAAGAGGCAAGAAACAAGAGAGCTTCCATTTGCTGTCCCACTGGCAAATGATCGCAGCTGCGAGGCCGCAGCCAGGCTCCTGGGAACCCAGAACTCCCTGCGGGTCTCCCACGTGGGTGGCAGCTGTCATCTGCCTTCCCAGGCACGTTAGCACAATTGGAAGCAGAGTGAGTGGGTTGAATAAGCACTCGGATACAGGATGTGTGTCCCAAATGGTGGCACAGCGTACTGTGTCCTTCCCTCAAGGCCTTTTGTTTGAATGTGGGGTCATTGATCAGGTTTCTTATATAAACTCTACATGTAATAGAAACTTGATTAAACCTAAAAACAATTGGAAAGTAATGTGAGGGCAAATTCAAGTGCTGCCTGTTCACATTCATCTATGTAATTGTTTTAGGCACAACTGCAATAAGCAAACCCGGGAGCAGAGGCCAGTGGCTGAAGTAGGCCTGCAGCTCCCCAGGGCCCGAGCAAAGGCACCTGCTGCAGAAACCTGGCCAGCCTCGCCACGCGGTGTCCTGGGCCCCGGCAGATGTAGACCCTGTCACACTGGTTCTAGTCTTCTGCCTAGCAGTGTTCATTTTGTTTGTTTAAAGATTTATTTATATTCATTGTAAAGGCAGATTGTTAGAGAGAGAAAAGGAGAGATTGAGAAAGACTTAAAGACTTTTTTCTCCTTTTTTTTGGCTATGTCTGCCCCTGTTATTTGAGCCAGTGATAGCCCAATACAGTGGGTTTGTGTTAAGCTGATGGGCCACAGCATATGCCAGCACTCAAAAAAACAGGGCTGGGAGCAGGCTTGGTGGGGTTACTGGGGGTCACCCCGACCAGGGTGGAGCATCCTCTGGTATACATGAAGACCAGGCCTGTGGTGGGCTGGGCTGAGCTAAACCTCAGCACCCATCAGTTCACAGGAGAGATGGGGTTAGGGTGGAACTAACCAGGCAGCTATGGATGGTGCAGGTGATAAACCAAACCTGACCCTGTACTGGCTAGTGCACACAAGAGTCAAGTCTGAGGTAATCCCATGCAGGGTTTCTTGGTGGACCCTCCCTCTGGACGGCTGGACCCAAACTCTGGGAACAGGACAAAAACAGCGTATGTGGTTTGACCTGGAGTGCATGCACTGGGACTGGGCCTCCTCGGTTGCTGATGCCTGTGCAGTGAATGACTTGTCCAGATGCACACGGGGCATGACAGCTGGCTCATCAGACCAGCAAGGGATGTCAGTGCCTGTCAGGATGGAAAGCAGAACAGGTTGACTACCCTCCTGGCCAAGCTTTGCAGCAAGTTCCTGGAAGGAAAGGCAGTGGAGTGATAACATAAATCCAGACGGATGGGGCTCCCGGGCAGGCGTGCCTGCCACCTGGTGCCATGAGCACTGTGCGTGGTGTGGTGAAACCTGCCAACCCCTCAGAATGGTCACTGCCTCAGATACGATAGGTGACAGGGCGAGTGTCCTGGCGCCAGGTTAAATGTCCTGCATCAGACCGAGTACTTGGAACTGAGTGTGGCCTTGTCTGCCCTGCAGCTTCCCAGTGAGGCAGGCCCTGGAGACAGCAGGTACTGGCTCGTGTACTTGCATCCCTGCCACCTGCTAGGAGCTTCAAGTGGAGTTTCTGGCTTCTGCCTTTAGCCTGGCCCGTGCCCAGCAGCGGGCATCTGGGCCCTGAACCACCAGATGGAAGTCACTGGTGTGCGCTTTACAAATACGTTCTTTGAAATAATAAAAGGATTATAAAGAAAAATCACCTTGAACTGTGATTTCAATCCTATATGATATAAACCATTTTGTCATGATAAATGTACGTTTTTATTAACATCAGTAAGATCTGTCATAATGCTATAATTTCTAAAATAGTAGTAAATGTAAATTAAGGCACCTACGAGAACCATATAGCACAACATGGCAGTATTTGTGCTGTCTGGTGGTGTGTGGTTTTTGTTTGCCTCTGTGCGTAGCTGAGGAAATGCCATTTCCTTTAGAAGTTTCGAAAGTGAAGCTGCAGTTTTGTTTTCTGCCTACATCTGTGTCACCCACACTCGCTTTCGACTGTCTAGGTCTGTGGCCTCTAGATCGGGGATTCCTGAGTTGGGGCAGGCAGGGGCCTGGTGCACACCAGCTGATGCGGGAACCTGGTTGATACTCTCCTAGTTCTCAGTGTAGCAGCAGGCTTGACTTGTGGCTCCCGGCTCACCTGTGTTATCTGCCTTTTCGTGCTTTCTTGAGGTCTGCTTTACGTGGGGTGAGTGCCCCAGGCCTGAGTCAGGCGCCCACGTGTCTGCACACTGTGAGATGTGCCCAGCCTCACATGCCTCTAGCATCTTCCACAGGTTTCCCAGTGCTCGCTTGCACCCAGTCACCCCAGGCAACCACTGTTCTCGCCCGTGTCATCATAGAGGCGCTCCTGAACTTTACACACTGGAAGCTTGCAATAAGTTATTAGATTTTTAATAAATATCAAATGTTATGCTAAAAAAGAAAAGCAGTTGACTCGGGCTATCCTCAGCCACCTTTCTTCAGTGGCAAGTGTTGTCTTAGCGCCGCTGCCCCTCTCCCTCTCCGGCAGAAGTCTGCAGCAGTGGCTCCGTTGCCTGCTCTCCTTCGTGGTGACTGATCCGTTGATGGGGACGCAGGTGCCTCGGCAGGGAGTGACTGGAGAGGCCCGTACAGTAGGTACAGTAGGTAGCCCTGAAGCCTGCTGTGAACAAGCTTAGGAGAAAACGGCTGTGAGATAGGCCTGACTGCTCCAGAATGTTCTCACCAGAGATAAGTTCCAAATGCCAGAATTTTGAATTGCAAGGTAGCCTTAAAGTTGAATTCCCTCATTTTGGGGATAAGATGGTAAAGTAAAAATAAACTAGGTGTCCCACCTCAAGACCTGACTTTTGGTCTTCCTCTGCCTCTCACTGGCCTTGAGACCTCGTCGGGCAAGGAGGTCAGCCTTACTCTGAGCCTCGCTTATCGTTGTCAGGTGGGCCGTTGTCAGTACCTAAGCTACCCATTTCTCAGAGTTGGTGTGGGAATGGAAGAACGCGGCATTGAGACGTGCCTTCTTAGCTTTGCAGGTTCATGGTCGAGAGAGGCTTTGGTGTGCTCGTTATTACACAGGTGAGAAAGCATGTTCCGAGGGATGCGTGACCTGCTCAGGGCCTTCAGGGAATTCACGGGAGAACTAAGACTTGAATCAGGAGTTCCAAATTCCCGAGTGAGTGTCCTTCCCATTGTCCCTGAAGCCTGTCCTTCCCAGGACGCAGTCTCTCGTGAGCTCAGTATTTCACAGTTGTCCCTGCTTACTTATTCTCATTTCAGCCTTTAACATTTCTGACCAAGGCAAGGATGTTTGTCAGACTCGAGTTTCACTGACGACAGTAGTGCGTGCTGGGAGTGACATTTAGCCCAGCAGGCGGAGCGAGCACACCTTGCCTTGGAGGTCCTGAACCTGAGTTCTGGCTCCAGCTGCTGACCCCAGCTTCCTGCTAGTGAACGGTCACAGCGCTGGCCCGGGGAAGTGGGTTATTGCCACCCTAAGAGACCTAGATTGAGTCCCCAGTTTGGGAGCAAACCAGCAGGTGGGATATCTCTGCTCTCAAATAAATTAATTAAAACAAAGAATAGGGCCTGGTGCAATGGCTCAGTGGTTAAATCCTCACCTTGCACACACCAGGATCCCAAATGGGTGTTGGTTTGTGTCCCAGCTGCTCCCCTTCCCATCCAGCTCCCTGCTTGTGGTCTGGGAAAGCAGGAGAGGACGGCCCAAAGCCTTGGGACCCTGCACCTGCATGGGAGACCTAGAGGAAGAGGCTCCTGGCTCCTGGCTTCAGATTGGCTTAGCTCCGGCTCTTGTGGCCAGTTGGGGAGCGAATCAGTGGACTGAAGATCTTCCTCTCTGTCTCTCCTTCTCCCTGTAAATCTGCCTTTCCAATGGAAATAAATAAATCTTTAAAAGAAAAAAAAATGTACATGCTAGTATTGTAAAAATTTACTAAGACCCTGGGAAATCTGGCATCAGTACTTCCTGTTCTATTTAGAAAGCCGAAGTATATCAAATTATATTTAGAAAAATTGAGAGCGCATTAAACGCTTTTTCTAAAGGTGACAAAAAGTGTGTTAGGACGGGTTACCTATGTTCTATTTAAGATAAGCATCTTACAGGTCATTTAGTTGTTGTGCTGGAGCAGAATGATAAGATCTGATCCACTCGGGGCCCCTGTGGAGTTCCCTCCCCCCTGGGAGTGTCACGTATCAGAAAAGATTTTCTCCAAAAAAGCAAGTGTCTTTAAAAAAGTGACCCTACCTGAAGACCAGAAGTTGTACTATGGTGGTTGGTTCCAAGCAGAGGCCTAAAGCACTGTGGTCTGATGGCTGTTCTGGATCCTCAGCAGAAAACAGCTGTTTGATTCAGAAGAAAGAAACCATAGCTCTGGGTCCGTTGTGGTGGCCTAGCAGGTAAAGTCCTCACCTGGAACACGCCAGGATCCCATATGAGTGCTGGTTCTAATCCTAGCGGCCCCGCTTCCCATCCAGCTCCCTGCCTGTGGTCTGGGAAAGCAGCAGAGGATGGGCCAAAGCCTTGGGACCCTGCACCCGCATGGGAGACCTAGAGGAAGTTCCTGGCTCTTTGCTTCAGGTTGGCGTAGCACCAGCCGTTGCGGTCACTTGGGGAGTGAATCATCGGACGGAAGATCTTCCTGTCTGTCTCTCCTCTCTCTATATCTGACTTTGCAATAAAAATAAAATAAAAAAGAAGAAGAAAAGAAACCATAGCTCTGTCTCCCACTTGGAGAGCCTCGGGAATGCTGCCAGTGTACAACCTCTGACCTTGAGGAGCAGACGTAGCCAAGGATGTGGACGAGAACTGACCAGAGTTACCGTGTTTCAGTTGTCTTGTTCTTGCTGGTAGAAGGAGCCATTGAGAAATGAGATTTGTACTTCAGAATGAATATATGAATTCCTCACCAAGTACCATGAAAAGTAAGAAGCAAGTGTCACGGCGGGGAACACTTCTCCTTTGGAGAAGCATGGGGCTGTTGCTTTGCTAGGCCATGCCCTGCTGGCCTTGCCTCCCAGCTTTGAGGCAGCTGCTAGCTCTGACACTTGGTCTCAGGTTTTCCCAGAGGACCCCTAACCTGCTCCTGACACTTGACCCCATTCCCTAAATTAGTGCCCCCTGGCTCAGGGGTCCCACTTCATAGTAGGAATTCCCACCCGGTGGGGTAAGACTGCTGAGGGGCATCCCTCCTCCGCTCTGCCCCACCTGCGCCCCATGACCAACAAGGCTCAGATGCCACAGCAGGAGACCTAGCGAGCTCAGTGATCTTGGAGTAGATCACTTACCCTTGGTAAGTGAGATTCCTGATCAAGGTGAAGATAATCACACCCTCCCAGAATTGGGGGAACTCGGTGGGATCATGCAGGCCGCTGCTAGTCTAGGGGGGAGCTGCACTGTGGCGTGTCGCAGCGGGACTACGGCTGAGATTTAGAACAGCGTAACCAGCCTGAATCTGCGACAGCCGAAGCGAGCACGGACGCTCCCAAAGACCTGGTTAGGTACAGGTTGAGTGCAAGGTGATGGCTAATGAAGGGAGGATGTGCCTTCCTCAGGGGTAACTGCCTTGCAGAGTCTTCATTCCGTGTGACCCTGCACGTTGCACGGTTCTTGGAGGTTCTCAGCTTGTGTCTGCAGGGTTAAGGGTCTCCATCCTTTCAGCCGTCAGGCCCTTTCTGCGTCACCGTGTGCGTGTTTCAGTCTGGTCTCATCCGTAATCACAAGTTTTGTCACTCCTGACAACCCCTAAGGTTGTTTTACTTGGCCCTATTCCCCATTGTTACGTGCAACCTACTTTTGTTCCCCAGGTTTTAAAGCCAGGCAGAAGTGTCTTATTTCGTGACTATGGGCTGTACGATCACGCCATGCTTAGGTTTAAAGCTGGCAGCAAACTCGGAGAAAACTTCTATGTCCGACAAGACGGAACCAGATCGTACTTTTTTACCAAAGGTAAGACGGCTGTAGTGTAGCCATGAAGTGTCTGGGCCCTGGGGACTCGCTGCATTGTCGTCACACTCTTCCGGTGAGATGCTTCCGTTGCTGGTGTCCATGCGGATGTAATCTTACATACCTGTAGGGACCTGTTTCCAAAATAAAGTCATTATATCTTGGCATCTGTTTTCATTACCAAAAAGAGTCGCAGCTGTGTACCCCCTCGGTGCTGCCAGGCCAGGCCCGCGGGGGTCATCAAGCCCCTCACCCCCTGCCCCGCTTTGTCGTACAGAGTTCCTAGCCCAGCTCTTCACAGACACGGGTTACGAAGAAGTGCTGAACGAGTATGTGCTTCGAGAGACGGTGAATAAGAAAGAAGGCCTGTGTGTGCCAAGAGTCTTTCTTCAGAGCAAATTCCGCAAGTCTCCGGAGAGCCCAGACCCTGCTGCTGCAGGCCTGGGCCGCAAGGGCCGCGCCGCCCCATAGGAGCGGGTCAACCACCTGCCACTCTTTACTGTGTCTACTTTCATGTATTTCAATTTTAAATGAGCTTGTATTATTTTGTATTAAATGAACATAGATCATTTTTATATTCAAAAGAATCGTGAGTGTGTGTGTGTGTGTGAGAGAGATGGAAGTGCAAGCAGAACTGCAGGGCCTGAAAAGTGAAGAGATGGTTGTGTGGTAATTTAGCCTTGGTAAATTATGGCAGGTTTGACTGTAGCACTCCACAGAGGAAGTCACAAGAACCCGGGAACACTTAAGGAAATTCTTGTCATGATGTGACTGTAAGTATGCCTCGAGGCACAAGACCCTGCAGAAAGTGAGGCCGAGATCAGAACAGGCCGCTGTGCACGCTTAGCCTGAAAGGCGACTGGCTCTTTAGCTGAGTCTGCCCTGGAGCTCTGGGAGAGCCCCTCCCGGGAGTGCTGCGCACAGCCCGTTTGTCTCTGGGTCTCTCTGTGGCAGAACCCACACAGGCTCCTTGCCCAGTTCCACCCTCTGTGGGCTGGGTGCTGACCACACTGTCCCCTACCCCCACTCCGCCCAGCAGACCAGCTTTCTCTGCGAATACAGCCGATGTCTGGTTCTGAAGGCTGGTTGGCTGGTTGGTTGATTTTTTCACTTGGGAGGGGCATTTGAATGGGCTGCCCCGGCGCCTGTGGGGAAATGAGACAGCAGTGGCTAAGCAGAAGTGATGAGGCTCAAGGTCACGAGCTTGTGTGAGGGACCCTGGGCAGGTCCCTGCGCCGGCTTGCTTACTTGTTTCTCAGGTACTAAACTCATATGAAATGAAAGCTAGGTTCTTTGCGTCAGCTCACAGGAGGTGGTCCTGAGCGCTTCTAGGTGTCCCTTCCTGCAGAAAGCTTGTGGGTGAGCACGTGATGGGACTGTATGCACAGCAAGCTGGCGGCCTCACCCCCAGCCGCGCCCGGAGAGCGGACAGCTCAGTGGTGTGTGCTGGCTCCTAGCCCTAGCATGTCTTCACAGTCACGCTAAACCCCCTGGCTCCTGGGAGAAGAGGGGCAGGCAGGGGCGCTCAGAGCGGACTTGGTGACGTGTCTGCCCTCTGGCCTCGGGTCCCGGGGGAGCAGGTCTGTAGTGCCTGTTAGTCGGGTTTTCTGGGGGCTGAAAGGCGGCTGTGCCAGGCTCACTCACTCTTCCATCACTTCACATTTTATTTAAAAGTAATTTTTTTTTTCTTGAAAAGCAAAGGTATGTTTTTTCATGCTTGGAGTCTGGGAGCCTGAAAAGCAAGGTCATGGTCACTTTAGTAACAAAACTCTAATGACTAATAACTTGGGTGGAACTCTCGGCTGCAGTCAGGAAGAAGCCCAACGGAAGTCCTAGGGAGTAGAGGTCTAGGTGTTATACACTATTTCTATCTGTGCATATATTTTTTAAAAGATTTATTTTTATTATTTTTTATTGGAAAGGCGGATATACAGAGAGGAGAGACAGAGAGGAAGATCTTCCGTCCGATGAGTCACTCCCCAAGTGAGCGCAACAGCCGATGCTATGCCGATCCGAAGCCAGGAGCCTCTTCCGGGTCTCCCACGCGGGTGCAGGTTCCCAGAGCTTTGGGCCGTCCTCGACTGCTTTCCCAGGCCACAAGCAGGGAGCTGGAAGGGAAGTGGGGCTGCCGGGATAGAACCAGCGCCCATATGGGATCCCGGGCGTGCAAGGCGAGGACTTTAACCACTTGCGCCACTGCGCTGGGCCCTCTGTGCATATTTTTTAAAGTTTTATTTTTATTATAAAGTCAGGTTTACACAGAAAAGAGACAGAAAGATCTTCCATCTGCTGGTTCACCCCCCAAGGAGACTCATCCTGAACTGAGCCAATCTGAAGCCAGGAGCGTTAAGGCTCTTCCAGGTCTCCCACACGAAAGCAGGGTCCCAAGGCTTTGGCGACCGCTTTCCCAGGCCACAAGCAGGGACCTGGATGGGAAGCAGGGTGATGGGATTAGAATTGGTACCCATATGGGATCCCAGTGCATGCAAGGCAAAGACTAGCTGCTAGGCTACCGCACTGGGTCCTGCCTATTCATATTTTTAAGCATATAGTGGATAACATATGCTATATAATAATTTGTGTTTCCCCGGCCTCCATTATTGCAAACTTCTTTGGAGGTATTTGTTACATGTCAGTATTATAAAGATGGCATAGTAATATGAGTTCCTGTACACGATCTGTATAAAAACACTAATGAAAAAGTGGAGTGTGAATGTCTAGGTTTAAGTTAATCCCAAGTGCCCACTCTGAACCTGCCTTCATGCATTTAAGCTACAAGGATTCCAGCCCATGGGACTTGAAGTTGCTGCCAAGTGAAACAGGATCATACACGTGGGAGAGCTTTGCTTACTGTGTCAGTCGGGCGCTACGTCGTGTCCCTCAAGAATACCATCTCATGATTCCATGATGTACAGAGTAGAAACGGCCACAAGCCAGCACCTGTTGGAGAACGCCGTCATTCACCCCGCCAGGGCCTGGGGCTTCCATCTACCACCACAAGAGGGAGCTAAAGGCCAAGTAGTCCTGTTGGCCTTCGGATTTCCCGGAGTTGCGCAATGTTACTGTCATGGAGAAGGGAGGGCAGTACTTGGTACAAATGTGTATTCTAGGTCAGCCTGACTCATAGAAGCCATTTTCACCTCCTTGAATAAGAAGCCCAGTGTGATTTTACCAAGGCTTCAGCTCACTTGGCCTGCTGAGGGGGCGCGTGTGTGGTTTCAACCGCAGTGTGCAACGCATCATCAGAGGACTGTAGAGCTGGCTGGAGGCGCCAGGCGCAAACACGAGAACAGCCAGAGGACTCCCAGTCGCTTCCCTGTGCGTAGATAACATCCCGCTCGCCCCACCCTTACTCCTAACTGGTGCATGGACTTGTTTGCACTGTTGGTTGGAGATGTGGGCTGCTGCTCCCCTCCCTGTCGGCCTCACACGTTGTTCCTAGAGTCTTCCATAGCGTTTGGTTCCTGCTGCACGCCTGTCAACCAAGGACGAGAAACCTGTGAAACACATCAGGGAAACCACGAAGGTGTTCTGTGGGATCCTGTTTTCTGTTGGGGAGCAAATATTTCATATAAAGTTAGGGTTCTGTCACTGAAATCAAATGGCCTATTAAGATTCTATATCATTTCCTGTATCCTTTCTGCGCTTCTCCAATGTGTGGCATTCTGTGGTGTCCTCTAGGTCCCAGTCGGGTCCGGGGCACTGTGGCTGGAGAAGAGGGTTGGGGGAAGGCAGTGGGGGCCTAGGCAGGAGGGCAGCAGCCAGCCCCAAAACACAAGCACTCAGGACACTACCGCAAGAAAGAGGAAGAAGTTAGGCTGCTGAAGACCTGTGTGTGGCAGCTGCCAATCATGTGGAAAGACTGTCCACACCTACACGGCAGAGGAGTCACGTGCTGTGGCCTGGGGCCTGGCCCTGGACATGGAAGCACGGATCAGCTGCTCTCACAGGCTCGCTGCATCCAAGTGTGTGCGCATTAGTGGGAAACTTGACAGGAAGTGGAGTAGGCAGAACTCAAACGTGCACTCCAACACGGCATACTGGCATCCCACGTAGCAAATTAACCGCTGCCCCAAACACCCCTGAAGCCCCCGTTCACCGCTGTGGCCTTCCTGTCACTTACCGCAGCCCCTCTGGATGAAGGCAGCCTTCGGGTAGACGGGCCCTTGTCAGGGCGACCAGCACGGCAAGCAGAGCTAGATTCCAGGGGCCTGGGCACCGGGCACGCCCTGCCCATCCACAGGGGACAAGCCAGCCACCCGGGCTCCAGGCATATTGTTCCCAGGTGCTGACACTTTGGACAGCAGCAAATACACCATGTTCTATATCATGGAATTCTGTACTTTGGTCTAAGAAATTGTGACTGCATGTGTGTGTGCATGCGCGTGTAAAGTCCAAAATAAACACCGGATCTTTCATTTTCTCAAACAGGACAAGGATATTCTAAAAATAGTGAAAATGAAAATTTAAAAAGACACCCGTAAAGGAAACATCACAGCCAGGGATGGGACTGGAGGAGGGAGGTCTGCCCTTTGATGTGGACTCCCGGGTTCCTGACGGGGTTGTCGGGGAAGCCCACCGGCAGGGCAAGAACAGTGGGTACTCCTGTTCCTGTCAAGTGGCCTCTCGCCCGTGGTCAGCGCTGTCCGCGTCACATTTTTAGCCGTTCGCCTTTGCTGCCGCCGCTGCCCCTCCTTCTGAGTGTCTGATGTCCTCTCCCTGGCCCTGTGTGTTCCTCTCCTGAGATCCAGTCTCCAGTCCTGCCTTCCACTTCCTCGCTTCCCTCCTTGGCTTTCATTTGCTGTTAAATCTCTCCATTGAAGTGGGTGTGTGTATGTGTGCAGGCACACATATTTGGGTTATCGTGTTTTCCTATTGAGCTCTCTCTTTTTAAAGATTTATTTATCTTTAGTTGGAAGGCAGACTTACACAAAGAGATGTTCTATCTGCTGGTTCACTCCCACATTGGCTACAATGGCCAGAGCTGAGCCAATCAAAACCCAGGAGCCAAGAGCATCTTCCAAGTCTCCCACAGGGGTGTAGAGGCCCAGGCACCGAGGTCTTTGCTGCTGCTTTTCCAGGCTTATTAACAGGGAGTTGAATTGGAGATGGAGCAGCTGGGGCTTATACAAGATGCTGGCACCTCAGGGAGAAATGTAATCTATTATGCCTTGGCACTGGGCCCTATTTAGCTGTTTTTCAAATAGCCTACATTGCTTTTTGTAGTTTCCTGTTCCTTGAAGATATCAACAAAGTTGCCTCTCAGAGCAAGTGGCCTGCCTCATAGTCCACTTCAGCTGACGTCTCGGCACATCTGCTGTCATTTGTTCCCTGCACAGCCTTGTTAATGGTCACTCTTAGACCCCAGGAGTTCTGAGTTTGTGCTGGACAATGTTTTGGGAAAATGATGTGTACAAATCATTGGAGGCCCATGCTCAGAAAGTCTTTACATTTGGGTCCATGGTAGGCAAGCGCCTCAAAGCATTTCAAGTTCAAGGTTTGATAGTCTATATATTTTTTTAAGATTTACCTTTTTTTTCTTTGAAAGGCAGATTTACAGGGAGAAACAGACAGAGAGAGGAGGAGAGAGATCTTCTATCTGCTGGTTCACTCCCCAAATGGACGTAGTGCCAGAGCTGAGCTCATCCAAAGCCAGGATCGAGGAGTTTCTTCTGATTCAGCTTGAGCCACCCTTCGCTACTTTCCCAGGCCATAAGCAGGGAACCGGATCAGAAGTGGAGCAGCCAGGACTAGAACCTGTGGCCATATGGGCTGCCAGCACTGTAAGGTGAAGAATTAGCCTGTTGGTTCACCATGCCGGGCCCCAACATTTGATAGTCTTTAACTCATGCTATCAGCAGTGTGGTAAGTACCGTGTGTAAGGCTCCAGCACTTACAGCTTAGAGATCTGGGTATGGGGGGTGGGTGGAGCTACAGTTCTGTTCAGAACAAACACCAAGGGGATATTTGCAACTCTAAGAAGCTGACACATGGTCAGGAAAGGGCTAACCCTCCCACACCTCTGCCCCTCGTGGGAACTTACACTGGACAGTCTGTGCTTGCACTCACATATAGCACACGTGTTGAGGACGCCCAGGCACCATGCTGGTCCTGGGGGGATTCAGTGCCCTGTGACTGAGGCCGGCCCCAACGGTTCACAGGGTGAAGTGTAGACAAAGATCCGGATGGGGCGTGTGGGGGGAGGTTGTGTGAGGGTTCTGAGTGGGTGTGAGGACAGGCAGGGAGACCTTGGGGAAAGAGCTGCCCTGCTCCAGGACTGCCAGCCTCCAGGGCCGGGTGAGAACCGTGTCTGTTCAAGGTCATGGTGAGCAGCGTTTGTTGATGATGGCGGGCACTGA